TGGAGACGCAGAGCAATTTCACATTCAGGTGGCCACGTCCGATTAACCACGTCAGGGGTAGCGGAGTGTATCGCTGTGATGTCTCCTCGATGTTTGTCGATCGGTGCATTGCGTGGTTCCACGTTGTAGGGTCTGTTCTGCACGACCACAGTAGCACACCACTGGAGAGATTTTAAGTGCCCAAACCTGCACTGACCAGCATGCTAAATCATTGCGTTATTGTGAGCAACATGGCGTGGAGAAGCCTGCAATGTAGGGTGGATTCGATTGGCTTAGGTGGGGCTGTAAAGCTGTGAAATGTTCAGGGATTGCACGTGTGTGGAAATGAGTTCATCGATTTTAATCTCTGATCCATTCATCAAGGACTGAACATGAGATTTTGCTTTGTGTTTTGTATTTTTTTGAATCGCACCTCCTCAGCTGTTGTTGACTTTAGGGTTTAACTTCCAGGTGTTGTTCTGTGAGAACTTTCGCATGATTATTGTCCAAAAATACACATCTGTGTGTGCGTGTGTGTGTGGGAGCGGTGGTGTAGCAGTTAGCGCTTCCCCCTCACGGTCAACACGAGTGACGATTATCTGAACCGGTCCCGGGCCTCCCCTAGGTCGACTCAGCCTCAAATGAGTACCTGGTGCGGTGTGTAAACATCGCCACTGGGGAGGCAAAGGCGGTCGGGCGTGGTGCTGGCCACCCACCCCCTCGTGTACCGTTACCGGCCTTCATAGGTGCTCGCTAACAGCACTTGCTCCTACAGTCTGTTAAGGCTATATGGGGGGTCTTTATATCTTTGTGTGTGTGGGAGCGGTAGTGTAGCAGTTAGCGCTACGCTGCGCTATGAACCTGGCGACCCGGGTTCGATTCCCCCTCACGGTCAACACGAGTGACGATTATTTGAACCGGTCCTGGGCCTCCCCTAGGTTGACTCAGCCTCAAATTAGTACCCGGTGCAGTGCGTAAACATCGCCACTGGGGAAACAAAGGCGGTCGGGCGTGGTGTTGGCCAACCACCCCCTCGTGTACCGTTCCGACTTTCATAGGTGCTCGCTAACAGCACTTGCCCCTACGGTCTGTTAAGGCTATACGGGGGATATTTATCTATGTCTTGTGTGCATGTTGTACATTGTGTGGTGTAGCTGCGCTACGAACCTGGCGATCCGAACTCCATCCCCTCTCACGGTCAACACCAGTGACGATGATCTGAACCGGTCCTGGGCCTCCCCTACGTCGACTCAGCCTTAAACGAGTGAATTGTGCAATGGTAAACATTGCCACTTGGGAGATAAAGACGGCCGGGGAGTGGTGCTGGCCACCCACCCCCTCGTGTGCTGTGCCGGCCTTCATAGATGCTGATCGCTAACAGCACTTGCCCCAACAGTCTGTTAAGGCTACACGGGGGATCTTTGTCATATTTGAGTGAGTGGTCATTGTATGGGCGTGTGTGGGAGGGTATTTGCATTTTTATTATCTGTTCCTAAAATACTTTGTTGGAATTTTTACTCACTCCCTCGGCAACTTACTGAGCCAAAAATGGAGTGTCTGTTGAGGCTCCAACTTGTCTGGACACGGCTTTGGCAAAGAGGAGGCTGTAAGTTGGCAGTAAGGTATTGGTATAGGCCAGTCTCGTATGACCATTATATCACACCCCGTTGTCTATCCACTGCTAGATGTAGGCCTTCCCACGCCACGTCGGTCATATAAGTTTTTCACTCCACTCGGTTGGTGGAGCGTCTGGCGTGAGCGTGTTTTTAGATTTAACAAGACACAGATCCCATCACGTAGCGCACTCGCCCGCCCGTTGCAGAGGTTCACGGTTCGATTCCAGCGGCCACCCTGGTTAATACTGCGGATGCACTAACCGTCATGACTCTACGCGCCGTTTGCTCCACGGTGAACGTTAAATATCCCCTGATGTCATTCGCGAAAGCAGGCCGCCGTATGCCCGCATCACGACATCAAATTTGCCAAATTTTAAAACCACACTGTAAGTTGCTCAATCGAGACTATACACAGCAGCAATCATCGATGCCCTCCTGGTAGACTGATGCCCCAGATCACTCTTGCAAATGAGACGCATTAAACAAAATAAACTTGAAGCCTGACCACCACATTGCACGTACGCCGCTCTCAGCCTTGCCTAATCCACGAGCTCGACAGAGCTGGGCGTGTGGGGGTGGCGTTGTACCGCAATGTGCTTGTAATTGTGGAGCTTAAGATGCCATCGAAAACTTCCCAGGTCGCTGATAGACCGGAGTAGGTGGCACGTGGCCATTACCCACACACGTCCACTGCACTGTGCGGAAATATTTCCCGCGTCGCTGACCCGTCCAGCTGAAAGCGCGCTCCGTGTAACCAAGAGCACGGCATAGGTCTCGCAGTGTTTGTGCACTCCGAGCGTGCCTGTGCCTGTGTTTGTGCGTGCGGAGCGGTAGCGTCATGCTCAGGGCACTGCGCTGAGAATAGGGCTGGGTCTCGTGACCCAGCCCTATTCTCATTCCAATCTACGGTGTAAAATGCTGCCACTTGATGTTTGAATTTGGCCTTGGCCTCCCCTAGATCAACTGATCCTGAAATTAGTAACCGTTACCTGCTGCAGCTGTAGGGGGTGGGATGAACACGGTGTCGCGAGTGTGGTGACGGTGTCACTCTCCACTCGTGTGTCGTATTGGGCTTTAGTAGATCATAATCGGAATCTTTTATTTAGACTTCACAGATGTCCAGTATGGGCACGGGGACAGAAAGTTACAACACCAAACAATACAACTAACAACGATAGCAGTGAAACATATGGGAATTGGTAAGCGAGTCACTAAATATAAATAAAGGAAATTCATTAATTAATTCTACAAGTCCGATTTTATTCAGCTTGGGCAAGGCAGTAAAACCAATAAAAACGGATTGTCTCAGACCACAGCAAGATAACGCCACACAGCAGTAGTCCCTCGATACAATGGCACATTTACATTGAACTATCAACGCACAGATAAGGTGCTCGCTAATGCAACCTTCTGGCACTTAGCACATCGAGCAACAGATTCCGAGTGACCTGGGCGGTTTGGTGCATGAACTTGCCCTGAGTCTCTCTCGAGGTTAGCTCCGTCTAAAATATCACCCCGTGCTCGTGGTGGCGTTCGACATCGTCAGCATTGGGGAGACGAAGGTGGCTTTGAGCGTTTCTTTCTTTGTTTGCTTGGACTACCCCTAGCCCCTCGAAGCTGCCCGTGGTTCCCGAGTGTGACGATGGCTTAGTTGTCTGACACGGCCATCTAGAGCCTTGGCCCACGCAGCTGCCAAGCAATCGATCACTCAACGTCCACCTCTGTCAGGCGCAATTCACGGAGAGCATGAGAGCGCTCGAACACACAAACAAAATTCAGATGAGAAATATGGTACGTGTAAGAGCTCCCTTATCCAGCCAGCGCGAATTCAAAACTTCGACAAAGCAAGGGTTACAACATGGGCAGTGCCCCGGTTTGCTCTCCCTGTTGTTTTCAACGTTAAAATGTTTTTTTTACGATATTCTCAGATTTTCCCTTCTAATATTTTTCCGTCGCACGGTCTCGTCCGTTTATCAACCACGTCTGAGTTTGACATGGGAACGTCAAACAGCCGTTGTGACGGTGCCCTGGTGCACTGCGTCGCCAGGGCACACGGGACGTTGTTTTGCCCACTCGAGTGCTAGACGGTGGACTTTTAAAGATATTTTCATATTTTTCTCGCATGACATCCACGATAACGAGGGAGGGAGGCAGATTACGGCAGTTGAAACTACAAACGATATTTTGGTTGTGAAAATCTGTTGGGAGTAATTCCCCTCCGCCGCCCGTAAACCACCGGCTGTGTAGGTGGTGTTTTCTATTTGCGTTTATTTAATAGTCTGGAACATGTTTTTACTCGGTTATTTTCACACAAAAATACAACTCTCACGCCCACATTTACGCACATTCGCTCGCTCGCAAACACGTAGACACCCCCCCCCCCTCCATACACACAGATACATACACCGAAGGCAAAGGGTCTTTGTCACAGCCATGCAGTGTTGTTAGCGAGCGCCTATTAATGACAGCACACGGAGCGCGAGGGAGATGGCGTGGCCAGTACCACACGTGCCAATTTATCACTGCTTCGGCAGTAATAATTTGGCACCTGCATGATGATGCTGGATATAACCACAAAAACGTTTAATGTTTTGAATTGCTCTACAACACAATGTATATTCATATTCTTAGTTTTTTCGGTAAAGTCACGTTGAAGAGAAACAACAAAATAACAAAATATATATAAAACAATAAAAAATTCTCACGACGTTTCGACCATAACTCAAACGGTCATCATGGTCGAAACGTCGTGAGAATTTTTTATTGTTTTATATATATTTTGTTATTTTGTTGTTTCTCTTCAACGTGACTTTACCGAAAAAACTAAGAATATGAATTACTGCAGTCACGAAAGCTTTAAATCAAAACACAATGTATGTTTATGTATGTAATGTTGAACTTCTTTTGCACCGTACGTTAGCGAACCCTGCTAAATCGGAGGTGCGAAGGACAACAAACTAAGCACAAAAAGCAGTTCTAAAGAAATGAGTTTTCAATCTCGATGACTTAAAAGGTGCACAGCTCCAGTGGCTTCCTAATATCGGAAGAGCGTTCCAGACGGCCGCAGAAGCGCATCTGAAAGCGCCGCGCGATGCGCTGACCGTCTTTGTTCGATGGCCAGCTAAGAGCCGCTGCTGTGAGGATGCCTGGAGTCCGTGTGATGATCATGCTCCTTAACACTACCGGTGGTGCTGCTGCTGAAGCGTAAATAAATTGCCTCCGTTTGTTCATCACGTGACAACTTCATGAGTTGGTTGTGTCGCGTTGGAGGAGGGTGCACGACACGCGTTTTACTCCCGCGGTCTTGACCCCAAATGTCAGTCGATGGAGGTGTGGGGTGTGTAGCGAACCCGGGCTTTTGTAACATCGCCCGCCCGTCTCTCCCACCCACCCACCCGCCCGCAGCATGCGCCTGCAACGGCCACTCCAACGTGTGCCACTACGACCGCTCCCTCTACCAAACGACGGGCAACGGCGGCCACTGCACGGGCTGCCGCGACAACACCGCGGGGCCCTTCTGCGATCGCTGCCGCGACAACTTCTACCGCCAGCACGGCTCGGGGCCCTGCCTGCCCTGCAACTGCGACCCCGTGGGTGAGTGGCCGCAGGGAGCCGCCGGGGTCAATATCGCCACCCTCACGCCGGGAGGGTGGCGATCATGAGAGGGCCCGGAGGTCGGAGGTGAGCGCGGCACCGGATTGAGATGCTGGGCCCGATTCCAGGCAGTTGCCACTGCTGATGAAACCGGGTTCTCGAGTATAGTGAGTTCATGGTCTCAGCCTGGCCATCGATGACTTAACACATGGACCACCCAGACTTATGTAGATACCCAAGGACTCGCGCAATGATGCATAGACTTACGCAGGGACCCACGGACTCGCATAGCTTGAGCTGTGATGAAACCGGGCTCTCGAGTATCACGAGTTGATGGTCTCAACTCGGCAACCAGTGACTGCACAATAAAAAGGTTCACGTGAAACTTTGTTCGGTATCTTAAAGTGAATACGTTCCAGCTCTGCGAATTAAAATGTCAGCTTGTCATGCAATGAACCTCATTCTCAGTGGGAATGTGATGTCCTCCTGTGTGTGGACCAGAGGTCACTTCAAGATAGTTCAGTGATATCCACGTCCGCGGGCTATTGTCTAACACATGGTTGTACTTGCTCTACGACAGTTTCCAAATAAATATTTATTCTCACGACACAATGCTGACAGCGCAGTCGAGATTAAACTGCGGGGAAGACTTCCCAATGTCTCAGGACAGCTACCGTGAAAAATGGGACAACCCTAAAAAAAGATCTCGAACAGGTGGCGACCCGAACGATGACACTGATGGCTCTAACGATGGGGAAGGGGTTGGAGTTGACCCTGGCTGGGATTTGAACTCTGCATCTTGTTGGTGAGAGCCCCCATTGCTCCATTCGGGGGAGACACATCCCAGGCTTCCTGGGCCATGCAGAGCATCATCTGTGGCTTGGCCCAGCCTCTGCTATGAGTGTTTTCTAGGAACTGGCCCTGTGATGTAACAGACACACACACACACTCTCGCGCACAAAATATGATATAGCCATTGCAAATTGTGTTTGTTTTGTAGAACAGAAACGCGTCGTCCCGCGAAGGACAAAATAAAGTAAATATCCTGGCAGCTGTTGACACATTACTGCACTTGCTTACGAGGTATTAAGACTCGTGCTTAAATGGTAATCGTTGTTGCAGTGTCTGCAACAACCGGCCTGCGTAGCCAGCCCATCCCGTCTCCTCGCTTGAGCTAACCTGGTGAACTGCCGGATGTTCACAGCCCAGGACCCTCCCTGGGGCTACTTGGCTCTGAAGAAGGGCCATTGCCCGAAACGTCACCTGTGATATAATATAACATTTTAAGGCCACACGGTGTGTGCTGAGTTGTCTAGGTTAAGTGTGCTCTGTGCACCACTTGCCAACGCAGCAGCAGCAGAATTACGAATTCATTTGTTAGATATGCGTCCGATTAAAAACCAAACAACTTTTTTTATTTTAACAGGCAAGGCCCACTGAGCTGTACTATAGCTCTTTTTCAGAAGCGACCTGGCTATCACAAATGATAGCTCAACGAAGTGGCTTACATCGTGAAATGCATAGCAGCTAAATACTATAAACGCGTGACGTTGATTCTAAATGTCGAGGGAAAAACCGGAGGACCCGGAGAAAAATCCACGCGACCAACATTGAGAGAGACACCGCAAACTCCAAATATGCTAGGCGTCAGGGTCGGGATTGAACCCACGACCTCTTGCATACCAGGCGAAGGAGGTATTGCAACCAACTACAACTCAAAGCTATATAATACATAACACAAAATAATCTGTCAAGTAATTGTAGAAAATACAGGTCGTAAAATATATAAGCAGCCAGTACGCCTCCTTCACATATCTAACACGATTATTTCGGATTCACTGTTGATGCCTGAGGCCCAGAGAGGTCACGAGTAACCACTGAGTCACGTGCAGATGCACGCGTGAGGACACGCAAACACGAGTACGGACGAGATGAACGTACTCTCTTTAGCCTTATGGTTGTGGCAAGTGGTGTCAGTGAGCTCCTATTGGGAGCAAGCATGGTTACACGAGGGGATGGGTATGATCAGTACCGTGCCCAGCGCTGCTGCCGGCTGCAACAATTCCAGCGGGTATGAACTCTAGACTGAGTCGATTCGAGGGTCGGAACAAACCAGGGACAGATGTTGGCCACCACTGGCGATGGGGCGTATCATAGGGTTTGAACTCGGGCGGCCTTGGGAATCGTGAGATCTTTCAGGAACCGCTATGCCAGCACTCCCCGCACATTTATGACCACACATCTACACACACGCTCACACGTACAAAGATTCCCCATATAGCCTTAATCGGCTATTGGGGTGAGTGTTATAATCTGTACCTATGAAGGCCAACACAGCACACGAGGAGGTGGGTGGCAAGCACCATGCCCTTCCGCCTTTGTCTCCCCAATGCCGATGTTTACGCACTCATTTAAGCCCGAGTCGACCTAGGGAGGGGCCCATGACATGTTCAGATATCTTGACTTGAAGCTTTCGTGACTACAGGAATCCATACTCTTTGCTTCTTTCGGTGAAATCACGTAGGCAGAAAATCAATAGAGCACGACGTTTCGATCGCAACACAATGCAACCGTCATCAGGTGAAACAAACACAGCAGGAGAACCGCTGACGTAGGCCGTGAGTAGGATCGCCGGTTCAGTACGCTAACCACACCGCGCTGCTACATGCCGGCACTCCCACACACTCGCATACTCACACTTTCCCACAGGCGGAGAGAGAACAAGCTTTAAAAAAAAAACCCCACCGTAAATAAAATAAAAACTGCAATAATATACGTGAAGAAAAGCTACAAATGGGGACGGGGGCTGATGGTGGGGGGGGGGAGTGTTTTAAACTCGTGATAAAGCTAATCAAACTGACGTTGAGTCATCACAGTACACATGCTGCTTGGCCTGAATTGACGTCACCTCGGAGAAGAAGGCGATAAAGATGGCCTGAATTGACGTCACCTCGGAGAAGAAGGCGATAAAGATGGGGAGACGGGGAGCCCCACACCGCCGATGTCAGAGTTATGGCCCGGTCCCGCTGCACCAACCGCACATGGTCATCGCTGTCGACGAAAGATCCACAGCCGGCCAGTCTTCATCTGCTGCTGGATGAAGACCGTTGTACTTTGACGCCACCGTTGCCGAGTCCACGCGGTGGCGGCTGAAGAATGGGTGGCTCCGACCGCGGATCCGCTACTATTCTAGGGGGAAATGTCAACATTGGGGTTCGTTCGGCCCCTCCAAAATACTGGTCGGTGTCTCCCCGCTGAAGCGAGCGTCGGGCGTGCCTCATCTCTAGATTTGAAGCTTTCGTGACTGCAAGGATCCACACTCTTTGGTTCTATTCGGTAAAGTCACGTAGGTAAAAAAATATAAAACAACAAAAATCACGACGTTTCGGCCACAACACAGCTTAAAGGTCGCGGTCTGAGCGTGGCTGTGTTTTCTCTCCAGCGCTGTCCTCGAGACAGTCTGGTCCCTTCACCTGATGAAGGCCGCTTGTGTTGTGGCCGAAACGTCGTGATTTTTGTTGTTTTCTTTTTTACCTACGTGACTTTACCGAATAGAACCAAAGAGTGTGCCTCATCTCCTTTGGGTGAGAGGGGGGGGTGGAAGGGCCTTGAGCCAATTGTGGAAATTCCATCTTCCAATGTCAGGGCCCAGTCTCTCCATAAGACGGTGTCTGTTCATTATCGCACAAATCGGTACTCTCGATTCAAATTTCGATTTTTTTTTTTGCAGTTACTCCCATTTCCTGGGGCGCCACGGTGGCGAGATGTTAACTACCTCGCCTACTATACAGGACGTTGTTGGTTCGATCCGGAACCCGACACCTGTATATTTGGAGTTTGCATCTTCTCACCATGGTCGTTTGGATTTTTGTCCGGGTCCTCCGGTTTTTCCCTCCACATTTAGAATCATCATCACGCGTTTAGAGGATTTGGCTGCTATAACATTTCCACACGATGATGAGCCACTTCGTTGAGCTATCATTTGTAGCCGTGTCGCTTCTGAAAAAGAACTAACATAGCTCAGCGGGCCTTACCTGGTAAAAATATATAAAATAGCTAACAGTTAGTTTTTTCTACATGCTGCACCAGTGAGGGATTAGCCAGAGTAATAGCGGACGGTGGGGCAGCGGTTAGCGCACTTGCGCTATGAACGCGACAACCTGAGTGTGATCCCTGGCCACAAGCTCACATCAGTGGCGAGTGATATATGATCTGGTGCTGTGACACGACCTGTAATACTCCCTGTGACCGGAACAGTGTGGGAAGACATTCATCCAGCAGTGGATTGATACAAGGCCAGAATTATTATTACAGTATTATCATTATTTTTTAGTGGACATTATTCAATAGAGTATTGCAACTATGTGAGGCTTTCCAGGTTAAAGAAAAAATAATTACTATTATTATTAAGCAGTCAATGATGTCTGTGCTGAGACCATCAAATTCCATGCCCCTGAGAACCTCATTTTACTTTATTTTTACTTATTTATCCTTGTTTTTTTATTTTAAGATGTTTTCAGCCGATTGATGGTGAGCGTTTATACGTGTGGGAGGAGACCGGAGCACCCGCAGGGAACTCACGCGTTGGAGGGGGCAACGCTCTAGCATGGGATCATGAGAGAATTAAACTTGGATCATGAGAGAATGAAACTTGGATCATGGGGAATGAAACTTGGATCATGGGAGAATGAAACTTGGATCATGAGAGAATGAAACTTGGATCATGAGAGAATGAAATTTGGATCATGGGAGAATGAAACTTGGATCATGGGAGAATGAAACTTGGATCATGGGAGAATGAAACTTGGATCATGGGAGAATGAAACTTGGATCATGGGAGAATGAAACTTGGATCATGAGAGAATGAAACTTGGATCATGGGGAATGAAACATGTATTCATAATGTAGGATCTCAGAATCAGAATATGTATTTGTACTGTAGGAATCCGATGAGCTATAAAGCTCTATTGCACAGATGTCCAGTAGGGGTGGGTCAGAACGTTACAACACCAAACAGTACAAAAAACACGATAGGAGTGCAACGTAGAGGAAAGGGAAGCACATTTCTAAACAAAATATATATTTTGTTTAAGGCCCACTCAGCTATTCGCTTCTGTTTCAGAAGTGACCTGGCCACAAATGATAGCTCAATGAAGTGGCCTATCATGTGGAAATGTATAGCAGCCAAATAATGTAAATAATCTAAAGGCATGTTGATTCTAAATGTGGAGGGGGAAAAAACTGGAGGACCTGGAGAAAAAATCCACGCGACCACGGGGAGAACATCAAACTCCAAATATAAAGGCGTCAGGGTCATGATCAAACCCGCCCCACGCTCTTTCACATGGCTATTGAGAGCTCTCTGAACCACATGCTCTGAATTCTCATAAGCCACGAATTAAATAGCTGTACAAATAATTAAACACGGCCCATGCCTCCTCACCGCAGCCTCTCTCTCTCTCCCTCTCTCTCTCTCTCATTGTCACTGCGCCGCACACTTACGAACGAGCCTCTCCTTTTGTAGCGGACCGACGAATTCCACCGCCTCTTTATTAACCGGTGAATAATAGGAGTCACGTCTGTGCGTCCGTGCAATCTCTTTCTCAGCCCGTGCAATTTTTCATTCGTCGTAAATGCCAGGTGCGACGGCGCATCAAACACCACGGCGTCCACGCGGAGACGCCTTTCCACCCAAAGCCGATTCGACTCGCACGCTTCTTTTGGAAATGAAGGCGTGGATGCGTCTCGGCGAAAGGATAAAAAAACCCCATAAATTATCCCACGTTCTTCATCGGTCCTGACTTAAAAGGCATTTTGAGTCGATAATGACGACGTTCGAGTTTAGCCCAACCTCGGCCGGCTTGCACCGTTTCTCCCGCCGCGCTTGGAATTCTTTTACAAGGGGCGGCTGGGTGGCTCGGAGGTCAAGAGAGCTCTGTGCCACCGCCGTTGAGAACTTGGGTTCGAAACCAAGCATCTGCCTGTGATTAAACCGGGGTTTCGTGCCTGTGAGTTGACGGGTCTCAGCCCGGTTACCAGTGACTGTCCGGCTTCTAAAATGAAAATAAAATTGAATTTGTGTGTGTGTGTGCCCGCGTCCGTGTGTCTGTGCGCGTGTGCACCTGTTTGTATTTGGGTCCGTGTGCGCGTGTGCATCTCCCTGTGTGTGTGTGTGTACATGTACGTGCATGTGTGCGCGTGTGCATTTGTGGGTGTGTACATTCGTCTGTGTGTGTGCGTGTGTATATGTGTGGGTAGTGGGGAGCGATAGTGTAGCGGTTAGGGCGCTGCTGTGCTATGAACCTGGCGACCCGGGTTCGATTCCCGCTCACGGCCAACACCAGTGACGATTATCTGAACCGGTCACGGGCCTCCCCTAGGTCGACTCGGCCTCAAATTAGTACCTGGTGCGGTGTGTAAACATCGCCACTGGGGAGACAAAGGCGGTCGGGCGTGGTGCTGGCCACCCACCCCCTCGTGTACCGTTCCGGCCTTCATAGGTGCTCGCTAACAGCACTTGCCCCTACAGTCTGTTAAGGCTATATGGGGGATCTTTGTTTTATCTTTGTACGTGTGGGTACGCGTGTGTGCATACATCCGTGTGTCCGTGCATGCGCATGTGTCTGTGGTGCCTTCATAGGTGTTGCTCGCCAACAGTCTGTTAAGGCTACACGGGCGATCTTTGTCTTTGTGTGCGTGGTGCCACCCCCGTCCCGCAGGCTCTCTGAGCGCGCAGTGCAGCACCACCGGGCAGTGCGCATGCAAGGCCGGGGTCGGGGGTCAGAGGTGCGATCGCTGCCAGCCCGGGCACCACTCGCTCTCCCACAACGGATGCAGGTGGGGACCTCACGGCACGGGCTACGACTGTGGGACCCAGTGGCCGGGTCTTTCACGTTGTGAAAGATCCCTGGACGCAGACGTACCCTGGGTTTGATCTTCCACGAAGCTCATGGTCCACCCTAAACCGCATCCACTGCACAAAGCATGGCAGATACGGATTCCTGGTGCGCAAAGGGAAAATAAATAAATAAACTCTCCGGTAGTATGCGACTGTGGTCACCCAGAACAGACCGTACAACATGTATAATTGTGCGCGCTTGTTCCGCAGACCTTGCGCGTGTGACCCCGCTGGGAGCACCCAGGATTGCCAGGACGGGGGGCAGTGCGTCTGCAAGCCCAACGTTGAAGGGGACAACTGCAACCGGTGAGTGAACGCTCCACGTTCCCACGACCAGTGTATCGACCCACCCCCCGAAGGACGATGGGCTGAGACCGCCCCCCGTCTGGGATGTGAACTCACGCTTTTCGGTAACAAGCCGCTCGCTCTACCACTGAGCCATCCAGTCAGATTAAGTGGATTAAACCTGGACTCAAACCCAGAACCATCCATCAATCTCACATGACAATCGGAAGACTCGTGGTCTGCTTTTGTCTCCCGCGTGGCGATGTTTACACACCACACCAAGTACTCATTTGAATTCTGAGTCGACCTAGGGGAGGCCCGGGACCGGTTCAAATAATCTTCACTGGTGGTGGCCGTGAGTTACAGCGGTTAGCGCAGCGTGCTAACCGCTATAACTACCGCTCCCCACATACATACACACACATAACACCTCTCCCTTCACCGCAGAGTTCTCATTATCGGCCCGCCCTCTCCAAACAATAACAAGTTCATCAAGCGTGCTCATGTTGGCAGCGGTCCGCGCGTGCGAGAGATCGCCCGCGCGGTCCGTTGGGGGGGGGGGGAGCGAGAGTCCATGGGTGGTCGCTCGCTTTGCCCGCCGCAAACGCGCCTCCCTTCCACCTTCGCTCTGTTGAGCTTGCCCTGCTGCTTGCCGCGCTGGCTCGACCGTTCGCCCGCAGGCTGCAAGAGGGTCGTGGGTCGCGCTTGGACGCAGTCTCGTTCCCCTGCGACGCGGTGGTTGTTGCGCTCCTGGAAATGCTGTGCGCGGGGCCGAACAAAAACACGAAGGCGCGCGTGGGCAGCATCTCGAAGCATCCAGCAGCATCCCGATGCCTCGTCCGGCGATGCTACGCCGAGGCAGCCGCGTCACAGCCGCTTATGGCTCCATGCGCGACGTTGTTCTTTTCTCCCGCTCGCGTTTTATACAATTCACGTTAAAAAACAAAAAAATGTGTTCCCTAATGCATTCATCTCATCGCGTTCTATACAATTCGCGGAGGCGGCAACATAGCAAGACACCCTACGTTTGCGAGAAGCCCACAAGGCCCTCCGGCCAGGCAGCGGTGTAATGGCGACGTTACACGAATGTTATCGGCGAATGCGTTGAGTTTTTTTTGTTGTTGTTGTTGTTATTATAGCATAGCAGGAGCCGAACTGTTGTAGCTTTCTTTTTTGGAGAGGCGAAGGATTTCCCCTGCCACGGGGGGGGGGGGGGGGGTGGGTCATGCGGCCGTCACGGACTCTGAGAGTAACAAAGCGCCCAGGACTCTTCAACCCGCGTCCGGCTTGCCTGCTGCTGCATCAAGCCTCCTTTGCGACGTTCTAGTCAGGAGAGATAATGTACCAAACAGGCAGACCCCGGGGGGGGGGAAAGGGAACTGTTAAGTTAAGCCGCGCGATTACAGCCATCTGTTCGGCAGAGAGGGGGTCACGGCCAGGTCTTCTGCTGAAAAAAAGAGTAAAAAACACAGATGTATATTTGGGCTCACATCCCCGGCTGCGCCCCTGGCTGGCTTGTGTGTAAATTATATCCGGGATCGTCGTGGTACTGGAGCGCAGCCCACGACCACAGCAGCAGAACCACTGCTGAGCCTGGAGTGACCCAGAATGCATTGCTTCTGAACGTCGACCAACCGTCCTCTTAGGGGGTCCGTCCAACACAAACGGCCATGGTCAATCCACCGCTGCACGATGGCCTCCCCAATCCGCCAGCGCGCCTCTCGCGATCCTGCGATGCAACAAATGCACCGGTGCTGATTGCTCCGACTCCATCTCCCCGGCGGATGTCCTCTCTCTATCTCTCTCGGACGCGTTCCGTTCCTTGGCTGACGCTCCGTTGTTGTTGTTGTTGACCGCTGGCCATCGTGCCACTTGACCGTGACGCATCCCGTCCAAGCCACTTTAGTTTGGATGAAGTCATTGACCTGGGGTCTGTTCTCTAATCCACGTGTTCCAACCTTGGGCAGGGAACACTGGCTCTTGTCTAACTGTCTGCCACACAGCGCTCGATTATGGGTTTGATGAAAGTCACCCTCCCGTGATTTTGAAAGGCAATGCTTTTCAGGCTTCAGTAATTACCGCACAGCTGTAGAAATATGTCAACTGTGTGACCTCTCACCACAGCTCGGCTGCTTTATCATGACGACGATGATGAGGATGGTGACTGCACATTTTTTTATTTCAGCAGTGCTGTAGAAACGTATTCCCGTAATCGTATCAATGTAACGAGATTGTTTTGGAAATCATTATGGCATTGTTAAAATATTCTGGAGCTTTGTATGTAAGATTAAATAGAGCAAGTGTATGCACGTCTGTGTGCGTGTGTCTGAGTGGTGTGCGCGTTGCGTGTTGATGCACGTGCCTTTGCGAGTCCGTGTGTGTGTGTGTGGGGAGCGGTTGTTAGCGCACTTTGCGATAGATTCCTGCTCACGACCAGCGTCGATGGTGAATATCTCAAACTGGTCTTGCGCCCCTCCTGCTATGACTCGGCCTTCGTCGAGTATCTGGTGCTGTGCATTGACATCACCACTGGCCTTAATTAAGTGCACGCCAACAGCACTTGCCCCCAACAGCTTGTGCAGGCTACACGGGGTGAATCTTTGTCTCCATGCGCGGGGAGTGGCGGCGCATTGGTTTGCACGCCACACTACGAATCTGCTTGACCTGACTTTGATTCCCTGCCATCGCTATAAATCAGTGGGGCGTGACGTCTGAACACGTTGCCGAGATGTTAAATCCCTCGCCTAGTATCCAGGAGGGCGTGGGTTCGATCCCGACCCTGGCGACTTGTATATCTGAAGTTTGCACGTTCTCCCCCGTGGTCGCGTGCTTCTTTTCTCCGGGTCCTCCGGTTTTTCCCTCCACATTTAGAATCACCATCACGCGTTCAGAGGATTTGGCTGCTAAAACATTGCCACACGATGATGAGCCACTTCGTTGAGCTATCATTTGTGGCCAGGTCGCTTCTGAAAAATAGCTACACAGCTCAGTGGGCTTTTCCTGGTAAAATAATTTTAAAAAACGTTTAGTTTCATAGTTTAGTCCTGAGTCCACCCTCGGTCAACTCGGTTTCAAATGAGAACCCGGGAGCGGTGCGTAAAAGCATCAGCCAGCTCTGGGGGGAGACAAAGACGGCAGGCAGCTGTGCCGGACACGTCCAGCCACTTCATAGGCGCTCGCTAACAGAACTTTAACCGACGTTCTTACGCCGGCTTCGTGCGCGGGGGATATGTTTGTCTCTCTCTGATTTTCTCTCTGTGGAACTAAGCGGTCAGCCTCGGCGTCCCGTTCGTAATCCACGTTGTGAAATGTGCTCCCCGAGGGAGAGTGCGGAGGTGGGGGGTGATGGAAGCATCTGGGGCGGCGGTGTTTATGAAGACCAAAATGAGTGCCTCCAGTAGTCTGGATGTCTGTGGACTGCCTCGTCCCCTTGCTGCCCGGGATTCACGGAGCCCTCTCTAGTCAGGGGCGGCAGAGCGAAAGCGCTCACGGGGGTCAGGGCTTTTGCCAAGGAGCACCCCACGAAGTGAATAACGCCTCCCTCGCCGTGCTCGTCTGGCAGTGCATTTTTATCAACAGCGCTGGTCCAATGCAAGCAGCTCTTGGACCTGGCTTCGACGTTGAGTGTCTCAACGGCGGAGTCAGGCCCAGGCGAGCCAATGCTGGTGAACTGCCACATGTCCAGATGTCCCCTAACTGGACACGAAACCACAGTGTTATGTTACTATTACTCAGCTTATTTATCCAGGAAAGCCTCGCTAAATCTCAAGACACCTTGTCAGGGCGGGGGGGGGAGGTGTCCTGCTCAGTTCTCGCAGTCGGGTGCGATGCTGTTGCTGTGATTGATCCCAGCTAACTACAATTTACAGGGAGATTTTCAGCATCGGGATGTTTTAATGTGTGCAACGTACGTACGGAAGCGGTTGTCTGAACCAGTCGTGCGCCTCCCCTAGGTCTACTCAGCCTTAAACGAGCACCTGTAGGGGCTTATTAAATGTCACCGGCGGGGAGACAAAGGCCGCCGGGCATGGCGACAGCCTCACTGGCCCCGGGCGTGCGCCGTGCCGGCCTTTGCAGGCTGCTTGCTAACAGCACAGCTGGGACGTGGTGACGGTCACCATGGTGATGTTCACCATGGGGGGACGTGGTGATCGTCACCATGGTGACCGTCAACCGCACCCGTGCCCTTTCAGGTGCTCTTCTGCAGGCCGTCTGGAACGCTCTTCCTTCCGATTTTAGGAAGCCACTGGAGCTTTATGCACTTTTCAGAACTTATTTTTTTTGCGTTTAGCTTGTTGCCTTTCCCCCGCACCATGCACCGATGAGCACGTTCGGTACACGCAGCGCATCTTTGTCTTTGTTCTCCGGTCACCTGCGCCAGGTGCCGCCCGGGACACTTCCACCTGGACGCGCGCAACCCGAGCGGCTGCTCCGCGTGCTTCTGCTTCGGCCACGCGGCGTCGTGCAGCGGCGCCCAGGGCTACGCGGCGCACACCGTCGCCTCCTCCTTCCACGCAGGTCAGGGCGCCACGGCGCAGCCTCGCCCCCGCCCGCCCCTCTCCCGGTGGATCGGCTCGCGAGTAGCCGGCGGATTTCGTTCGGGCGCGCAGATCGCGAGAAGAGAGTCCCTCCGTGTTTCCCTTCTTTTAATCCGCCGCTCGTGTTGCCCTGGCGGAATCGGGCTCCCCCCCCCCCCAACGCCCACCGGGTGCTGACCCCCCCCCCGCCCCCCCTGCCCCCCCTTGCCCCCCCCACGGTGTGTGTTGGTCGCTCAGGGCGGGACGGCTGGAAGGCTCAGCGCAGCGACGGCGCCGAGGTTCCCGTCCAGTGGTCGGGGTCGTCCCAAGAGGTGACCGTCACCTCCGCCGACCCCCTGCCCATCTACTTCGTGGCTCCCAGTGAGTGCCCCCCCCCCCGTGACCCGGACGCCTGCGGCAAGCAACGACCCTCGCTCGCTTTGTTTTTGTAGATTTTTTTCCCACCACCCCCCCCTCCCCAGTTTTTTTTGACATCCCAACTGCGCTATCGGAGTCACCGCCGCTGGACGGAGCATCTCAGAATCAGGATATTTATTTACACTGTAGGAATCCGATGAGCTATAGACGACCTCTTTTCACAGATGGTCCAGTAGGAGCGGGAGTGGTTGCGACCCCCCCCCCCCCCGTCCCCCGTCGTGGTGCGGAGCGGCCCACGGTAGCGGATATCACAGAGCTACCTCTGAGATCGCTCCACGTGACCTCTGTTCCATACACCGTTCCCACTCACTCTGGGGGCGCCGCGGTGGCGAGATGTTAACTCCCTCGCCTGGTATGCAGGAGGTCGTGGGTTCGATCCCGATCCCTAGAGGATTTTTATCCGGGTCCTCTAGATTTTCCTTCCACATTCAGAATCGACCTGCATTTGGAGCATTTGGCTGCTATGAATTTCCACCCGATAAGCCACTTCGTTGAGCTATACGGCTCATTGGGCCATACCTGGTAAAACAAAAAAAATAGTTGATAGTTTAGTTCAAAGTTTCGTCTGAGGATGTCTCGTCCCACCCGCTCGCCCTGTCCCGTAGACGCGTTCCTGGGGAATCAGCTGCTGAGCTACGGGCAGAACCTCTCCTTCACTTTCAGCATGGATCGTCGCGACGTGCGCCTCTCCGCCGAGGACGTGGTGCTCGAAGGCTCCGGCCTGCGCGTCTCTGTGCCGCTCATCGCGCAGAACAACCGCTACCCCACCGACGGGCAGCAGACCTACACCTACGTGTGAGTGGATGGGTTGACCCATGAGGACGGAGGGTGCCGATGCGGCCGGTGGTGGCCGTGAGTGGGAATTGAACCCGGGCCGCCAGGTTCGTAGCGCAGCGCGCTAACCGCTGCACTACCGCTCCCCGACTGGTGGATAACACACACACACACACACGTGAAACGTTCTCCCTACCCGTTGAGGAAGCAGTTCACGTCTCCTGACTACAGGGAATTATGGCAGTATAGCAAGTGGGTTAATTTCCATCAGTACAGGGATCGAGTACTACCCCCCCCCCCGCACGTGTGGGTGTTTGCCCGGGTACTGTGGTGTCATTCCCCATGTGTAGAACAGTCACCAGTGGAGTTGGCCAAACATCCACATATAGGACCACAGAGCTCGGGCAATTGTTGGCAATTGCCCGAGCTGGCTTTTAACTCAGGACGTCCTTCTGAAGGTGGGCTCACCGCTCTGAGCCGGTACCACCGGCTGTCTCAGCGCGGACGCATTGCGGAATTTCGTGGGTGGAGGTGACACCGCTACTGCGTAACCCTGGAGGTTTCTATCCTCTCTGGCTCGCGATCTCCCCGCGCGTGGTTTCTGACTCGCGATCTCCCCGCGCGCCGCCTCTGCCGCCCCGTGGCCTAGGCTGCACGAGAACCCCGCGTATCCGTGGACGCCGCAGATCCCCGCGAACGAGTTCAGGAAGCTCCTCTCCAACCTCACGGCCATCAAGCTCCGCGGCACGTACAGCGACAAGAGTGAGTCTCGCACGCACGCACGCACGGGGAGACGCGCACGCCCGCGGCTGGGCCAACCTGATCGCTTCATTCAATCATCTGGTGACGCTCGTGTGGGGTTGGCAGTGGCGCACGAGCACGCGCGAAAAACGCTCGACGCATTCGGCGATAACGCTGTGCGGCGTTAAAAGGAAACGTACACAATGAGCGACGTTTTTTGGGGCCGATGGCCCCTTCTTCGTAGCACACGTCAATGTGCCTTTGCAAATTTGTAACAAGTGTAGGGTGCAAAAATACTCGATTGGGATGTCTCACAGGGCAACATCGCTCCCTCCTGTGAGGCTGCCGCCGTGAGATTGACACGAATGGCAAATGCGCGATATTAATATGATTATTTTATCGTGAGCTATTTTGACAACGTGCGTGTATAAATGTTTCTGCGAAGAATTGGCCATTGGCCAAAACTATCACCTATTGTAATGTTTTTTCCCCTTCTAAGGCCACACGGCGGTGATTATTGAGGAATGCGTTGAGTTTCCGTTGTCGCTGCGTTTTTTGTTCCCGTGCCCCACTGCCAACTCAGAAGCCGCAGCGGCATCAACAAATAATTTCCACAATTGAAAGCAGGTTTGTGAGGGGGCACGGCTTATGATGACGTTTCATTCACAGGAGGGGGTGTACGATTCGCTTGGTAATAAATATTCATCGTCGTCTGGGTTTCTTTTTTGGCAAAAACACGGCCGTGTTGATCATCTTGGCCGCGTGCTTCCACGTCGGTGTTTTTTTGCCGCCCTTCCCTCCCCACCCTCCCCGCCCTCCCGCCCCGCCTGTTTGTTCGAGTGCGGTGCATCGGAGCCCATCTCTCGCGTAAAACGGCTACGATAACAACAACAATACAACAAAGCGGCCATACCTTCCGTTCGGCGTGCGGCAACGTCATGGCCTCCGCTCTCGCTCCTCTTTTTTTTTGCTTAGAGATTTAAACCACCGCAGTACAAATGTAGTAACAATACACTTCCTCAGCAGCGATTTGGTGAAATCCATTGTGCTCCGTGGGGCCACTGGTGGGTGGTCCGCACTGCCGGGGGGGAAGGGCTCTGCGGAACTCTCGTACTACCGCGACGATATTTTCCACAAAGCACCCGATATTTGACCGCTCAGATTTTCCTTCTCCGTGAGCTTCTCTTTTCTGCCTCTTCCCCAGTCACACCCACTGGCCTCGTGTCTCGTTTCACCGCATCCTCTCCTCTCACCCTCGGTCTCCCTCTGCTCTTTGTACCCACGGACTCACACAGAGACCCGCAGAATAATGCCCTGCACCGGTGGCAGTGGAGCTGCCACCGGGTCTCTTTGTGAGTCTGTGGGTCTCTCTTTGAGTCTATGGGTTCTCTGTGTGAGTCTGTGGGTCTCTGTCTGAGTCTGTGGGTCTCTGTGTGAGTCTGTGGGTCCTCTCTGTGAGTCTGTGGGTCTCTGTGTGAGTCTATGGGTCTCTGTGTGAGTCTTTGGGTCTCTGTGTGAGTCTGTGGGTCTCTGTGTGAGTCTATGGGTCTCTGTGTGAGTCTTTGGGTCTCTGTGTGAGTCTGTGGGTCTCTGTGTGAGTCTGTAGGTCTCTGTGTGAGTCTGTGTGTCTCCGTGTGAGTCTGTGGGTCTCTGTGTGAGTCTGTGGGTCAATGTCTGAGTCTGTGGGTCTCTGTGTGAGTCTGTGTGTCTCCGTGTGAGTCTAAGGTTAATTGTCCGAATCTGCGGGTCTATAGACTCCATAGCCCTTCAAATTACATCTTCTTTCTCTAGTCTCAACACATGGCCAAACCACCTAAGTCTCACTTCCTTTACCTTTTGAATAATATTAGTAGCTACCAAGGTCACCAGAGAGGTCCCTGGAGGACTGGGATAGAATTCCACGAGGGGGCACTCTTCTCCATGAGCCACACAACAAACACTGGACCCGTGTGGGACCCTCTGTTGTTTTTGTTGTGTGGTGAGCACGGCCCAGCGGTCGCGCGTTTTGCCCTCTTTGTTTGCAGAGGCTCACGGGTTAAAGCCCCTGGCAGGCCGTCCTGGTTATTGCTGCGGGCGACCACATTTAAAAAGAAAAAAATGTGCTCGCCGCCTTCACAGTGGACGTTAAAAGATCCCCTGACGTCATTGAACACCAGCGGGGCAGTCGTGTGCCCGGCTTCACGGTCCTAATTTTTTTCATGAAATTAGAAAAAATTAACCGCAAATGTCTGCGTTTGAGTTACGCGTGGCAACGTCGGCCCCTGCCGGGTTATACTATCAATAATATATCAAAACGAATATATATTATTAATATGATTAACCTTACCTGCCATTCAACTCGCGACGTCCTGTGGAAGGCGGGTTGATCGCTCTGAACCGTGATGATGATTTGATTATGAGCAGTTTTGACAACATGTGTACTCGTTCCCCTCCTCCTGTCTCTCTGTCCCCACCCCCTCTTCCCCCCCCCCCCCTACCCAACCATCTCTGCCCGGCCGCAGGCACGGGCCGGCTGGGCGAGGTGCGTCTCGTGACGGCGCGGCCGGGCTACGGCGCCGCGGCGGCCGGCTGGGTGGAGCAGTGCTCGTGCCCGCCGGGCTACCGCGGCCTGAGCTGCGAGGCGTGCGCCCCGGGCCACCGGCGCGACCCCCCCGGTGGGGGGCCCCTTGCCGCCTGCGTTCCCTGCAGCTGCCACGGCCACAGCGGCTCGTGCCACCCCGAGACCGGTGCGTGCCAACGCCGCCGCCGCCGTCACCGCCGCCGTCACCACCGTCACACCGGGCACCGCCATCACCACTGTCACCACTGCCACTACCACCGCCGCCACCACCACCACCGCGATGGGGCCACCGCCACCACGGTCCAAAACGACACAGCTCTCAGCAGGGTTTTCATTTATATTTTTAAAGGCCCAAAATGTAACAAACAGCACGATCAAAGTTGTAAAAGTACACGTGTTGAACTTCTTTCGAACAGTACGTAGCCAACCGTGCTAATCGGAGGTGCGGGGAGAAGGGCAACAAACTAAACACAAAAATCAATTATGACGAAATTAGTTCATGCATATTGGTAAAAGTGTAACACGTTTGTTAAGTTGAGCAAAGTTATTGTTCTAAGGGCCTGGGGAATAGAGACGACGATGGGAGGAGGGAATTCCATAGCGGAGCAGTGCGAGGGAAGAAGCAGAAAGAGAAGTGAGGTGACCTGCGGTGTGGTGAGTGAGTGGGTGGGTGATTGAGTCGGTGAGCGAGTGGGTGGGTGAGTGGGGTGGCTGAGCGAGCGGGTGGGTGAGCGAGTGGGTGGGTGAGTTAGTGAGAAAGAGCATTGTTGTAACGTGTGGTGTGGCGGTGGTGGTTGAACACAGTGTGGTGGTGGATGAGACGAAACAGCAGGTGTCTGTAAATAGACCGGGTCCTCGACTCAGGTGGAGGAATCGGTGAGTTCAGTTCACGGGAACGGTAACCACGGTGGTAGCGACAGCAGAGTGACAAGGGAGTGACTGGACCGCTGATGAGCGAGTAACGAGCGAATCGGGGAATGTTTGCATCATCAATCGCCGGGCTGCTTGCCGTGAAAGTCCATCCAGTCCCGCGGAATGCACGGGCGGGGAAGCTTCTTCTCTCCGTGTTCGCCGGTTCTCGCAGATTGTTGACGGCGCTTCGGCCCTCGCGGCCGCCCTGGTTAATCCTGCGGTGTATGTCTGTATCAACCACGAAACGCCGACGCGCACTGTCCTGCTTCTGGGCGGACATGCGACAAGAGTAGGCCATCGTGTGCTGGCGTCAACGGTTCAAATGTATCCACATTTTAAGCATTCCCGGCAGATCATTCGATTGGGATCGCACACAGCAACACCCAGGCCCCTTGCCACAAAACTGCCTCAGGCTGTGCCTGTGGCACACCGCGCCTTCGTGATGGTGGCCCAGTCAGGGTTATGGTTAAGGTCATGGTTAGGGTCAGGGTTAAGGTCAGGGTCAGGGTTAGGGTCAGAGTTAGCACGGTGGACGTCCAGCTGTCCGTGAGGCTCAATGGGCGATTGCTGTGATGTGTGTGCCCTGCGTGTGTGTCCTGTCCGTGTGTTATATATGTGTGTACCTTTTGAGTAGTATGCACGTGTGTGTGTGTGTGCTAGCACAACACCATGCGTGCGTGTGTGTGTTCCACGTATTCTTTGGGTCTTTCGGTAAATACTCTTTGGTTCTATTCGGTAAAGTCACGTAGGTAAAAAATAAAATAACAAAAATCACGACGTTTCGGCCACAACACAAGCGGCCTTCATCAGGTGAAGGGATCAGGCTGTCTCGATTACAGCGCTGGAGTGAAACACAGCCACGCTCAGACCGCGACCTTTAAGCTGTGTGCGAGGAAACAAGGTGCCTTGACAAAGGGATTAGCATAAAAATTAGCATTTGATTGGCCGACTTAGCATAGAGGTGGTGTACGTGCGGGTGCACATGCCGTTTGGCGCGGCAGGGGGGAGGGGGAGTTTACCTATTGATGGTGTGAAAAGGGAATTTTTAAGATCTGCGAAAGTTTGGGATACCACTACTTGAAAAATATACTGTACCATTGAAAATTAGTTTAATGTTTGGTTCGAATTAGAACATCTTTCCGATGGTCACGGCCGTGTGTGTCTGCGTGCTTCCTGCGTGCAGGTGCGTGCGAGTGCCAGCACCACACCGCGGGGCGGCGCTGTGAGCAATGCGCCGCCGGCTTCTACGGCGACGCGACGCGCGGCCGCGCCGACGACTGCCGCGCGTGCCCCTGCCCCCAGGGCTCCTCGTGCGCCCTCGTGTCCGGCGAGGTCACGTGCACGCGCTGCCCCCAGGGGCTCACGGGTAAGCACGAAGACAAAGATCCCTCACCTCCCACGTAGCCTTTAACCCTGTCGGGGCAGGTGCCGTTAGCGAGCGCCTACGAACGCCGGCATGGCGTGGCTATGCTGCTGCACGTGGCCGGCTGTCGTCCGGCGCCGTGGAGGCAGCGGCGGGGGATGATGGTGGATCGCCGCACGGATGTTGTGAAACTCCCTTCCCGTGGGCGTCGAGAAGAATCCGTACCCTGGCTTGCCAGAAGAAGGCGGTAAAGCAAGTGGGCTGATCTCCATCTGTTTCCATCCGTATGGGGATAGGGTTTTGCCCGCTTGCATGCGTGAGTTTTGTCCCGGTGTTGTAGTTTCCTACCGCTTGTATAAACACTCCTTATCAATAGGGCCCCTCCTGATAAAGAGTCATACGACTCAGCATGGCTTTCCTGGATAGCTAAACATATAATTATTATTTTGAGGGGGTGGGTGGCCTGCACCATGGCCTAGGACCGGTTCGGATATTCCTCACTGATGTTTGGCCACGAGTGAAAATCGAATTCGTGCTGCCGGGTTCGTGAGCGCTTCACCACGCTGGTCTGTGCGTGTGCCGTATGATTACATGTCCAATCCCACCTGCGTGTGCACGTGTATGTTGAACTTCTTTTGCAACGTATGTAGCCAAGCTTGCTAATCGGAGATGCGGGGGAAGGACAACAAACTAAACACAAAAAGTAATTCGATAGAAATGAGCTTTCAATATATCGGAAGGAAGAGCGTTCCAGACGGCCACAGAGGCCGTCTGCGGTGACCACCGCCTTTGTTTGGTAGTTAGCGAAAAGCCGCCGCCGCCGCCGCGAGGATGACCACCGGAGTTCACGTGATGATGTTTCATGCCCCTTGACGAGATCAGCGAGGCATCGCGGTTCATTCGTGGCGATAACTTTGCGCGTAATGATTGCGACCTCGCAATGCATTCGCTCGCCAACCGGAAGCCAATGCGGTGAACCCAGAGTGTGAGCGACTCCGTGCGTCTCTCCGTGTCCGCCCCCCGCCACCCATCACCGCCTACCGCCAGGCAAGCGGTGTGAGCTCTGCAGCGACGGCTACTTCGGCGACCCCACGGGGGTGGAGGGCGCCGCGGTGAGGCCGTGCCGCCGGTGCGAGTGCAACGGCAACGTGGACCCCAACGCGGTGGGCAACTGCGACCGGCGCACGGGCGAGTGCCTCAAGTGCACGCGCAACACGGCCGGCTTCTTCTGCGACCGCTGCCGCGACGGCCACTACGGCAACGCGCTGGCGACGGGCGACGGGGACAAGTGCCGACGTGGGTCGCGCTACGAGCGGCACGCATGCACGCACGCGCGAGCACGCGCGAGCACGCACGTGTCTTCACCCCCCCCCCAAACCCCCCCAAACCCCCCCCCCCCTTTTCCTGATGACGACCGCTTGTGTTGCTATCAAAACGTCATGGTTTTTGTTTTAATTTTTATTTTCATTCACTTTATTTTTTATTACGATTTTTCTATTTACGTGACTTTACCGAAAGAAGCACTACATTACAATACACTATACACTACACTATACACTGCGAAACATTAATATACACTATACACTACACTATACATTACTATCCACTATACACTACATTATACACTATACACTACTACTACACTATACACTACACTATGCACTACTATGCACTACTACTACACTATACACTACACTATACACTACTATACACTACTACTAGACTATACACTACAATATACATTACTATACACTACTACTACACTATACACTACACTATACACTACACTATACACTACTATACACTACTACTACACTATACACTACACTGTACATTACTATACACTACTACTACACTATACATTACTATACACTACACTATACACTACACTATACACTACTATACACTACTACTACTACACTATACACTACAGTACACACTACACTATACACTACTATACACTACTACACTATAAAATACACTATACACTACACTAGACACTACGAAACATTAATATACACTATACACTACACTATACATTACTATACACTACTACTACACTATACACTACACTATACATTACTATACACTACTACTACACTATACACTACACTATACATTTACTATACATTACTACTACACTTTACACTACACTGTACATTACTATACACTACATACTACACTATACACTACACTCTACATTACTATACACTACGAAACATTAATATACACTACACGAATATACACTCTATACTACTGTACACTACACTATACGCTACACTATACACGACTGTACACTATACACTACGCTATACACAGACTCCAGCTCTTCCTGGCTAACTCCCAGGAATTCCCAGGCCAGCCGAGCGACATCGTCCCACCACCAGCAGCAGCAGCGTGTCCTGAGCCAGCCCCGTGGTCTTTGCCCAGTGTAATTTTTTTGCACGTCATTTTTACTTATTTATTTTTTTACAGTTGGCATTATTTTTATATATATTTTAAAAATTGTTACATTTCATTGTTTTTTTTTACCTCCCAGCTTTAACTTTTATTTTAAAAAATGCGGTCAGCTGAAATTGGCCATCAGCTCCGCTCACAACCGTGGGGTTCTGGGTTCCAGCACCGTTTTATGGAAGGTTCTGACTTCATGGCAGAATAGCACTGGGAACGTAACGTCGGTAACGAGTCCTTGGGTGTAGTCTTACATCACTCTGTCTCTACACACAACAAGTGCTCTTAGCAAGGATCTATTCAGTGAATTAAAAAATAAGTCAACAGGTTCGTCAACAATAATTTGGCTTTTAAGCGGTAACATTTTATAATCGATAACGTTTCAGGCAATGGCCCTTCTTCACAGCACAGATACTGTTATTACACACAACGTTGCCTGTTATATATATTTTTTAAAATTTTAAAGCCACAGCGCCGCTTCACAGCCGACATTAAAAATCCCACAATGATCATTTAAAAAGAGGAGGCCATTAAATGACTCACTCTCAGGGTCAACATGCACACGTTTCATACGCTGAACATACACGACACACACAGAGGCACAGATGTGCACACGCACGCGCAACCCAAACCTGTACACACGTGACACGCACGCGTCACACACAGGCACGTGACACGCACGCGTCACACGCGGGCGTCCGCGTAACTCGCGCGTCCCCCGTGTGCCATCGCGCGTGGGCGCAGCGTGCGCGTGTTCCAGGTGGGGCACGTTGGGTAACCCCGGCGGCTGCAACGTGGTGACGGGCCAGTGCGAGTGTCGACCGCACGTGACCGGGCGCGACTGCGGCCAGTGCCTGCCCGGCTACTACGTGTCCCCCGACGGCAACGGCTGCGAGAGGCGAGTGGCAGCCACCTTCCCACGATGCACCGCTCTCGTTGCCGCTGCTGCTGCTGCCCCGTAGCTGTCACTCGACTCTTGCTCTCCTCCTTGGACTTGTCTGCCGCCCGGTGTATTAGTTCGTCCGCCTGCTCACGCACCCGATGAACCAGCCACCCGTTTGTTTACTCACCCTCCCGATCGATTATCTAGTGACTCGTACATCCACTCTCCGAGAAAATCACCTGGAGCGCGTCCGATCTCGTCAAATCTCGGGTGCAAAGCTGGGCTATATCTGTGCGTGAGCGTTCGTCCGCGTGCGTATATATGCACGTATGGGGGAGCGTCACTGATAACAGCGGTGGATATTCTAAACGGTCCTGGGCCTCCCCTAAGACGAATCAACCTTCTATGAGTACCTACGGTGTATAAACATCGGCACCGGGGAGACAAAGGCGTCCAGGTGTGGTACTGCCCACCCATTCCTTCGTGTGCCCTGCCGAACTTCATCGGTGCTCGCTAGCAGCACTTGCCCCAACAGTCTGTTAAGGTTATACGGGGGGGTCTTTGTCTTTATTTTTTATATAAAAACGCGTGCGTGCGTGCGCGTGCAGGTGTAACTGCGACCCCGTGGGCTCTTTGACGGGCGGCTGTGACCCGGTGACCGGACAATGCGACTGCCATCCCGGCACGTCCGGCCGCTGCTGCGATCGGTGCGAGGGCAACCACTTTGGATTCTCTCTCGAAGGCTGCAAGCGTAGGTCCCCTCATCGCTCTCACACACAGCCTGTAACGTCACTCGCTCGTCACTCACACAGCCTGTAACGTCACTCACTCATCACTCACACACAGAGCCTGTAACGTCACTCACTCATCACTCACACAGCCTGTAACGTCACTCACTCATCACTCACACACACAGCGTGTAACGTCACTCGCTCGTCACTCACACACAGAGCCTGTAACGTCACTCACTCATCACTCACTCACAGAGCCTGTAACGTCACTCACTCATCACTCACACACAGCGTGTAACGTCACTCGCTCGTCACTCACACACAGAGCCTGTAACGTCACTCACTCATCACTCACACAGCCTGTAACGTCACTCGCTCGTCAATCACACACACAGCCTGTAACGTCACTCGCTCGTCACTCACACACAGCCTGTAACGTCACTCACTCATCACTCACACACACAGCGTATAACGTCACTCACTCATCACTCACACACAGAGCCTGTAACGTCACTCACTCATCACTCACACACAGCGTGTAACGTCACTCGCTCGTCACTCACACACACAGCCTGTAACGTCACTCACTCATCACACACACGCAGTCTGTAACGTCACTCGCTCGTCACTCACACACACAGCCTGTAACGTCACTCACTCATCACTCACACACACACAGCGTGTAACGTCACTCGCTCGTCACTCACACACACAGCCTGTAACGTCACTCACTCGTCACTCACACACACAACCTGTAACGTCACTCACTCATCACTCACACACGCAGCCTGTAACGTCACTCACTCATCACTCACATACAGCCTGTAACGTCACTCGCTCATCACTCACACACACAGCCTGTAACGTCACTCACTCGTCACTCACACACACAGCCTGTAACGTCACTCACTCATCACTCACATACAGCCTGTAACGTCACTCGCTCATCACTCACACATACAGCCTGTAACGTCACTCGCTCGTCACTCACACACACAGCCTGTAACGTCACTCACTCATCACTCACACACACAGCCTGTAACGTCACTCACTCATCACTCACACACGCAGTCTGTAACGTCACTCGCTCATCACTCACACACACAGCCTGTAACATCACTCACTGATCACTCACACACACAGCCTGTAACGTCACTCACTCGTCACTCACACACACAGCCTGTAACGTCACTCACTCATCACTCACACACAGCCTGTAACGTCACTCGCTCGTCACTCACACACACAGCCTGTAACGTCACTCACTCATCACTCACACACGCAGTCTGTAACGTCACTCGCTCATCACTCACACACACAGCCTGTAACGTCACTCACTCGTCACTCACACACACAGCCTGTAACATCACTCACTCATCACTCACACACACAGCCTGTAACGTCACTCACTCATCACTCACACACAACCTGTAACGTCACTCACTCGTCACTCACACACACAGCCTGTAACGTCACTCGCTCATCACTCACACACACAGCCTGTAATGTCACTCGCTCGTCACTCACACACACAGCCTGTAACGTCACTCACTCATCACTCACACACACAGCCTGTAACGTCACTCGCTCGTCACTCACACACACAGTCTGTAACGTCACTCGCTCATCACTCACACACACAGCCTGTAACGTCACTCGCTCGTCACTCACACACACAGCCTGTAACGTCACTCACTCATCACTCACACATGCAGCCTGTAACGTCACTCACTCATCACTCACACACAACCTGTAACGTCACTCACTCGTCACTCACACACACAGTCTGTAATGTCACTCGTTCGTCACTTACATACACAGCCTGTAACGTCACTCACTCGTCACTCACACACACAGCCTGTAACGTCACTCACTCGTCACTCACACACACAGCCTGTAACGTCACTCACTCATCACTCACACACAGCCTGTAACGTCACTCACTCATCACTCACACACACAGCCTGCAACGTCACTCACTCGTCACTCACACACACAGCCTGTAACGTCACTCACTCATCACTCACACACAGCCTGGCACGTCACTCGCTCATCACTCACACACACAGCCTGTAACGTCACTCATCACTCACACACAGCCTGGCACGTCACTCGCTCATCACTCACACACACAGCCTGTAACGTCACTCATCACTCACACACACAGCCTGTAACGTCACTCATCACTCACACACACAGCCTGTAACGTCACTCGCTCATCACTCACACACACAGCCTGTAACGTCACTCACTCATCACTCACACACACAGCCTGTAACGTCACTCACTCATCACTCACACACACAGCCTGTAACGTCACTCGCTCATCACTCACACACACAGCCTGTAACGTCACTCATCACTCACACACACAGCCTGTAACGTCACTCGCTCGTCACTCACACACACAGCCTGTAACGTCACTCGCTCATCACTCACACACACAGCCTGTAACGTCACTCGCTCGTCACTCACACACACAGCCTGGCACGTCACTCGCTCGTCACTCACACACACAGTCTGTAACGTCACTCACTCGTCACTCACACACACAGCCTGTAACGTCACTCCCTCGTCACTCACACACAGAGCCTGTAACGTCACTCGCTCATCACTCACACACACAGCCTGTAACGTCACTCACTCATCACTCACACACAGAGCCTGTAACGTCACTCATCACTCACACACACAGCCTGTAACGTCACTCGCTCGTCACTCACACACAGAGCCTGTAACGTCACTCGCTCATCACTCACACACACAGCCTGTAACGTCACTCACTCGTCACTCACACACACAGCCTGTAACGTCACTCACTCATCACTCACACACAGCCTGGCACGTCACTCGCTCATCACTCACACACACAGCCTGTAACGTCACTCATCACTCACACACAGCCTGGCACGTCACTCGCTCATCACTCACACACACAGCCTGTAACGTCACTCATCACTCACACACACAGCCTGTAACGTCACTCATCACTCACACACACAGCCTGTAACGTCACTCACTCATCACTCACACACACAGCCTGTAACGTCACTCACTCATCACTCACACACACAGCCTGTAACGTCACTCACTCATCACTCACACACACAGCCTGTAACGTCACTCGCTCATCACTCACACACACAGCCTGTAACGTCACTCATCACTCACACACACAGCCTGTAACGTCACTCGCTCGTCACTCACACACACAGCCTGTAACGTCACTCGCTCATCACTCACACACACAGCCTGTAACGTCACTCGCTCGTCACTCACACACACAGCCTGGCACGTCACTCGCTCGTCACTCACACACACAGTCTGTAACGTCACTCACTCGTCACTCACACACACAGCCTGTAACGTCACTCCCTCGTCACTCACACACAGAGCCTGTAACGTCACTCGCTCATCACTCACACACACAGCCTGTAACGTCACTCACTCATCACTCACACACAGAGCCTGTAACGTCACTCATCACTCACACACACAGCCTGTAACGTCACTCGCTCGTCACTCACACACAGAGCCTGTAACGTCACTCGCTCATCACTCACACACACAGCCTGTAACGCCGCCGCTCACTGTGTCCCCCGCCCCCCTCGCCCCGCCACGCACAGCGTGTGACTGCGACACGTCGGGCTCCAAGTCGATGCAGTGCGACCAGGCGGACGGGAGCTGCCCGTGCCGCGAGGGTGTCACGGGCCCGCGCTGCGACCAGTGTCGCGAGAACTACCACTACAACCGCACCAACCCGGGCTGCCAGGAGTGCCCGCCCTGCTACCGGCTCGTGCGCGACAAGGTGGGCCGCCGCACGGCGACGCCACCGCTGCCTCTGCCGCTCCTACGGGACGCCGATTTTCCACCGCGCGACCGAGCCCGGTGCCGGGGAGCCTCGCGGTCACGGCCGGTTTCCCATTGGCTCGTTGCTAAGCCGGGCTGGAACGGTGATACACGGGGGGGGCTCCGATTAGCAGGGTTGGCTACGTACGGTGCGAAAGAAGTTCAGCATACATTGGCAAAGATACCCCGTATAGCCTGTAACAGACTGTTGGGGCCAGTGCTGTTCGTAGCAAGTAGCAGCACCTATGAAGGCCAGAACGACACACGAGGAGGTGGGCGGCCAGCATCACGCCCGGAAGCTTTTGCCTCCCGAGTGGCGATGCGTTATCCATTGCACCCGCCTTTACACATACATACGCACGTACATACATACGGGCCTAACAAGACATCTGAATTTGGCTTGGGGGCCAAGCAGGGCCAGGAGCGGTGCAAATGATGGCTTCTGGGTGCCTGACGTTATCATTGGCTGCGATGAAACTGGGTTCTTAACCGGGTGGTAGTGAGTTCATGACTGCGTAAAAAGCCCCGTCGCATCCGATTTGGTTCTGCACTTAATTTAGCAGTGTTCTAACGCTTGAGAATGAAAATATCGGATTCTGACCGTCAGGCGATGGACCTCACGCTCACGTGCAGAGCAAATGGGAAAGTGCTGCCCTCTGCTGTCCGTTGACGAGAAATGTTGACAAGAAATGTTGACAAGAAATGTTGACAAGAAATGTCACTTCGAGGTATCTCAGGTAGCTTCCGGGATATCCGCTTCCCGTGGGCAGTTCTGGAACGCTCTTCCTTCCGATATATTGAAAGCTCATTTCTGTCAAACTGCATTTGTGTGCTTAGTTTGTTGTCCTTCCCCCGCACCTCCGATTAGCACGATCGGCTACGTACGGCGCAAAGGAAGTTCGACGCACACGTGCGAAACTTTTCTTTCTGATATCGTACGGCAATCCCAACGTGGGAACCTCTGTGACAGCCGTCGGCCTCGCTGCCGCATCTCTCCCTCGGTTCCTCCCCCCCCCCGTCCCAGGCCCAGGATCTGCGCGAGCGCCTGCGGGAGCTGGAGCACTCCTTCGAGCGCATCGCCTCGGACCCGGGCGCCGGAACGGACCGCCACTTCGAGATGAAGCTGCAGCAGGCGGCCAGCGCCGTCGAACAGCTGCTGAGAGACGCGCAGCAAACGCAGCGTACGGCCCCGTCTCCGCGTCCCGCTTACGCCTCGCTCGCGTCGCACATTTGCACCGCGCTCGCCACTCACCCACGAGTGATCGGGCACGGTGGTGGCACCCACCCCCCCCCCCACCCTGGAATGCCACACTTTTTGGAAATTGATACGAAATAATAAACAGCCTTATTGCCTTTCAGTCCAGGTAGTTGTACGGGAAAGTTACCAAACATCTTGGCTTGGTCTGGACAATCTTCCGCGGTTTCGAAAAGTTTTTCCCTGTGTCCCCATCAAAGCAATTGCGAATGTCAGAATTTCGTCGTCAGGTTAAAATGTTCCAGCCTCATGCTCTACTCACGCTGCAGACTAGGGGTGGTGCTAACTAACGGGACGTTGTAAAGCAACAGAATCCATGCATGCACATTGATCATATTATCTAAGGGCGCCGCAGTGGCGAGATGTTAACTACCTCACCTGGTATACAGGAGGTCGTGGGTTCGATCCCGACCCTGACTCCTCTATCATTTGGAGTTTGCGTGTTCACCCCGTGGTCATGTGGATCTTTCTCCGGGTCCTCCGGTTTTTCCCTTCACATTTAGAGTCAACGTCACGCGTTTAGAGTATTTGAGCTGTCATTTGTGGCGCAGGTCGCTTCTGAAAAAGAGCGAAATAGCTCAGTGGGCCTTATTTGGCAATGTAAAACATTTAACACGTAGGTTTTTGCGACCAATATCATCCATAGGACAGGTTTTTTTGGGTTGGATCGCGTAAATATGTAAATGTGTCGTTAAACCCGGAGGATTTCTCCACAAATCTGGCCGTCGCCTGATGAAGCTAGTTGTAATTAGTGGCGAAACGTCGTACTCAAGATTGTAAATGTTGTTGCTTTGCTCTCCAACACAACGGTGTGCTGTACTAGAAACGAATTGGCACGTTCTGTTTACGTGACAAACCTTACTAAATTGGCTGTGTCGGGTGGTGGCGGGTTTAACGGCACATTTACATATTTATCCGATCCAACCCCCCAAAAAACCCCTGTATTATGGAATATAAAACATTGTCTATAGTTGAGTTCATTCCACCCCCGTGCCTCCCGTATCCTCCGCCAGTGTCGGACCAGGGCCTGCAGTCCCAGCTGGACGAGCTGGAGCGCACGTTGGCATCGCAGCGGGGCCGCCTGCAGAAAATGGGCGACACGGTGGGCGAGACGGACGGGGTGGCTGCGCGTGCCGGGCGGCGCGCCGGAGACACGCAGCGCGTGCTGGAGCGAGCGCAGCACGAGCTGGAGCGGGCCAAGGCCGCCATTGCCTCCGTCGTACGTCGCAGCGCCCCCCTAATGCCGCCCCCACTCCCACCCCCCACCCCCACAACTACAACGCACCACACGAGCTCCTCCCGAGTTTGAAGTTGATTTTCTTACCTTTCCGATACTTTGCCACTCCTATCGTGTTTTTGTATTGTTTGTTGGAACGTTTTTGACCCCGTGCCCCGACTGGACCACCTGTGAAAAAGAGCTTTATAGCTCATTATATAGCTCATCGGATTCCTCCAGTCTAAATAAAGATTAAAATTCTGGCTTTTTGGGGTTAATCCGAAAAAAAAATCCCCGAATCACGCCTGGACATGAAATATCGGACGGTTCACGACCACGCTGGGTTTTAAAAGATGGCTAAGAGTTGGCAGTGCGGCAAGTGAGTCTACGAACCCACCTGTGTGGACACTTTGAGTCGTGTCCCCTCCTGCTATGTGTGTGTGGGGTGGCGGTGCACGGGGGGAGGGGGCGGTTCTCTGGGCGCTGGTGACCGGGTGGAGGAGACCCATCGCGGTTCGACTCAAAACCCGAGGTCTTAGCCCGGCGAGCTCATGGCTCCAAATTCGCGGGCCACCCGGCCAAACTCTTACATTCGCTTCCTTAAGATCGCAGGTGAAACATTCCTGTGTAAATTCTACCCGTAGTTACTGTAATCTCGCGGGCCGGGTGGCTCAGCAGAATCAGAATCTTGTATGCAGACCACAGGAGGAGGAATCCGATGAGCTGCGAAGCTCTTTGTCACAGATGTCCAGCATTGGCACGGGGTCAGAACGTTCAACAACAAAAACGACAAATCGACGATAGGAGTGCAAAGTAGAGAAAATGGTAAGCAAGTCGCTAAATATAAATGAGTAAAAATGAAAATGGTGGTTTAATTTATGTTATTTTCTACCTACGTGACTTTACCGAAATAACCAAAGAGTATGGATCCCTGCATTTACGAAAACTTCAAATATAGATTGAGTAAAAATGTATTGACTTATGTGAGCCCGATTCATCAAGCTTGGGAAAGGCAGCAAAAAGAACAACAGAAGAGTTAGCGGCAGAGCGAGCGGCTCGCATTCGCACGGTCACGAGTTCACATCCTGGTTGGGCGTTGACTCGGCACCATCATCCCTCTGGGGTCGGGGAAGTTAACCGTGGTTGTCCTATGGATAGACTCGCCCCAGGTCTAAGAAATGTGGAATTGCCCGCAACTGTCTCTGCAGGGCTGTCAACAGGAGATGAGCACCTGCATCTCCAATGTTCATTTGAGCAGCAGACGTCACTTTGAATTCTCGAGACTTCATTACTTTTACTCTCTCAGTCATTGGCGATTGAGCTGAGAGACCATCAACTCTGCTGCACTTCAGAAACTGTTTTTTTTTATCTACCACAGGCAGCTGAAACCCATTACTTGAATCTGACTCATGCCAGCTGGTAAAGAATTAAAGCTTTCGTGACTGCATAAATTACTCATTGGTTTTTTTTCGGTAAAGTCACGTATGTAGGAATACCATAAAATTATATTCAAACAAATCAATCACGACGTTTCGACCGCAATTCTCGTCTCTCATCTTCTTGTTGTATTTACCTCCGTGATTTGTTTCTTACACCTGATGAAGATCGCTTGTGTTTGCGGTCGAAACGTCGTGATTGATTTGTTTTCATATAATTTTATGCTATTCCTACATACGTGACTTTACCGAAAACACCAATGAGTCATGCCAGCTGGGTTGTACGACAACAGCCACTAAGAGCTCTCGGAGCCATCCAGGCACCTCTCAACGTAGGAATCTTTGAATGTTTCACGTCGTTTCGCGAACACGTCGTCGCTTTATTGTTATTATTATATACACCGCTGCCTGATTTGCGTCACCTGACGCACTCACGCCGCCGGCAGCATCGTCAGGCGACAGCGAGGATTGTGGTGACTTCCCCCTGCGTTGTTTGTCTTAAACAGAGGGGGGTGAAGGCGATTGTCATCACTGTGCGCCTATCAGGTGCGAAGACCAGAGTGGGGGGGGGGGGGGGGGGGGGGGGCGGGGGGGGTGTTAACGTAGCCATGTAAGTCACAGTACTGCGTGTGTTTAATGAACACGTCTGCAGTCACGTCGTTATTTTTTCATTGCACTTTATTTGCAGAACATCGATGGGAAAAACGTGACCGGGCCCAACAACTTCACAGTTCTGGCAGAAGAAGCTCGGCGGCTCGCTGACAGGTGCGAGGCGGCACGGACGGCAGTACTGATGACACCCACGAGGCTAGAAGCTGTCCACCTTCAGTGAAGCCCCCCAGGCTGTGGGTGGCACCCCACGGAGGCTCTTCCCAGTTTCGTTGTCCACCTGGCACGGGTCAATGCACTGCCTTGTTTCACACGTGCTGCTGCTGCTGCTGCTTTCAGGCCATGGTATTGGAGACTCATTTCTTTACACTGGCTTTTTGTGTTCAGTTTGTCGTCCTTCCCCCGCACCTCCGGCTAGCGTGGTTGGCTACGTACGGTGCGAAAGAAGTTTGACAAACATTCTAACATACGAAGTGACCTGTCGCTTGGTTGCATTTTTGGCGTAATGATGGGTCCTAGGATGGGATATCAGCCATCGAACAAAGACGGTGATCATCGCATCGCGCGGCGCTTTCAGATGCACTTCTGCGGCCATCTGGAATGCTCTCCTTTCCGATATTAGGAAGCCACTGGAGCTATGCCACTTTTGAATCATCCAGATTGAAAACTGATTTCTTTAGAACCGCTTTTTGTGTTTAGTTTGCTGTCCTTCCGCCGCACCTCCGATTAGCACGGTTGGCTACGTACGGTGCAAAAGAAGTTCAACATACATACATACATGCGAGTGGTGAGAGACATCTGGTTACGGCTTGGGCCATCGTTAGGTTGTTTCAGCCTAAAGTTTGCACCTTCTGTGGTGCGTTCCGCATGAGTGCATGGGAGGCAAAGGTAGCCAGCCAAGTTTTGCTGGCCCGACCGCCATTCATCTCTCTCAGATGACATCAGTAGGTTCTTAAGAACGGCACTTGGCCCAACCGTTTCTCTCTGGGATATCCAACGCTGTGCATTGGCTCAAAGTGCATGTAGCCTGGCGCTCGATCTATCGTGTCGTCGCTAGATCTGACTGCTGACTGACTTTTTACTCTAACCAGTGAAAACGTCAAAGAAGAGGCTTTGACCCTTTCTGGGAATAGTACAGGTGTTAAGATGCTCGAACACCAAAAAGACACCTATTTTACAAGGCATCATGTCTGCATTACCCATACATACTTGTGCAAAAACACACAAACAAATATGCTTTGTTAATGTATGCATTGTTCTTAACACCGATTGGCCTACTACACCAGAGATGACTGTCTCACCGGTTTTGGACCACAGAGTGTGAAAAGGCAAACAGAGCAATGACAATGCCAACGCATCGTTTTCCCACAAGTATTTGCGGTTAATGCAAACTCGATGCCTTATCGTTTGAACATTTAAAACTCCTATATCATGACCAGAAAAGGTAACGAAAACCCTGTATTTTGTTCTCATTATCTTGATACCTTCAAAAAAGAAGGGGGTCCCGTAGACACTTTCAAGTTTCTATTTCGAAAAGGGTGGCATGGGAGTCTACAGCAATGAAAGACACGTGGAGGTGACATGGTGCTGACGGAGTGGTGATGTTGTGGTGACATGGTGGTGATGTCGTGGTGACGTGGTGGTGATGTGGTGGTGACGTGGTGGTGATGTGGTGACGTGCTGGTGACGTGCTGGTCATGTGGTGCTCATGTGGTGGTGACGTGGTGGTGACGTGTGGTGAGCGAGTAAGTAGTTGAGTGAGTGGGTGAGTGGATAGATGAGTGAGAGTGTCGTGACCTGCAGTGTAGTGAGTGAGTGATCTGGTAGGTGAATGAGTGGGTGGGTGGATGAGTGAATGGGTAAATGAGTGAGAGTGTTGTTGTAACCGCCAGTGTGGTGAGTAAGTGAGCTGCTGAGTGAGTGGGTGGGTGAGTGGATAGATGAGTGAGAGTGTCGTTGTGATCTGCAGTGTGGTGAGTGAGTGAGCTGGTGGGTGAGTGAGTGAGTGGGTGAGTGAATGGGTAGATGAGTGAGAGTGTTGTTGTGACCGGCAGTGTGGTGAGCGAACTGGTGGGTGAGTGAGTGGTTGAGTGACAGTGGTTGTTGTGACCTGCAGCGGAGTAGTGGTTGAACGCAGTGCGGTTGAGACCAAGGTACCTGACGATCAACGGCGGTTGTTGTTGCTGTTGCTGTCGCGGACGTGCAGCCACAAGCAGGCGGCGGACGACATCGAACGGACCGCAAACCTGGCCAACGACACGTCCACGGCGGCCTACAACCTCCTGCGCAAGACGCTGGCCGAGGAAAACGACATGGGCGGCCAGATCAGCGAGCTCACGCGCAGGTCGGTGCTGCCGCTGGCGCGAGATCTCCGCCACGGAGCGCGCAGGGAGTGGTGTGTGGTGGGGAGCAGGAGGAGGTGCTCTGACCGTGACCGTTGAGTGCTCGCGACGCTGCATTGGCTTCCGATTGCCGAACGAATCCGTTATAAGGTCGCACCCGTTGCGCCAGTGGTTCTTAACCTTTACTGCAGCCTGGCACCCCTTTTCAATCGTTAAAAAACAAAGGAAGTTGTGCTTATATGCCCGTGCTTAATCTGGCTTTCGATGATTTACCTTCTAAAATAATCTGGCCATGTCTCGCACCCCCCCCCCCCCCAAAAGGGCATCTCGCAACCACAGGGTTACGCGTGCACCACCAGGTTAAGAAGAAGAACCACTTGCGTTACACACACAAAGCGCTCGCCACAAATCATCCTCGATACCTCGCTGATGTCGTCAAGGAGCGTAAACCACCATCACGCGTGGGCTCCAGTGGTCATCGTCCTCGCGACAGCGGCGGCTTTCGGCTGACCACCGAAAAAAGGCGGCAGTCACCGCATCGCACGCCGCTTTCAGATGCTCTTTTGCGGCCGTCTGGAACGCTCTTCCTTCCGATATTAGGAAGCCCCTGGAGCTTTATGTACTTTTTAATTTAAATTGAAAACTAATTTCTGTAGAAACTGATTTTTGTATTTAGTTTGTTGTCCTCCGTTTAGCGCGGTTGGCTACATACGGTGCTCAAGAAGTGCAACATACGTACATGCCCAAATCCCAGCACATCACAGGAAGAATTAAGAATATCTCACAAGTTACTCGCTTGTGATTGCACGTAGCAGCAATCATCAACCCCTCCTCCTGGCAGCCTCATGCCACCCCGCTTGCTGAGCAGGTGCTGGGTCACCTTGTGTTGCACAGGAACAGCTGGCAACTGGGGTTGTCCTTTTAAATGCTCTGAGATGAGATGCGACTATGGGAGTTGCTTATCTCATGTAACGGGCTCTGAGATGCTCCGGTATACAGGGCGCTGCATCAAAATCTAATTATCCGAACACCGGATTAGCGATGCGATGTCTCGTTTGGTGGATTATTGTGGTTGTGCAACTGACGAATATGAATAGCTTTCCCGTTCCAAGAGGCCTGCAGGTTGCGGGGTGGGGTGCCCTTGTTCACCGCTGAATCTCGGAATGCGCAAGCGGCTAAGAGGCGTAGCAGCGTCGTTTTTAAAGGCATTGTTACTTGTGGGAGCCTCGGTACCGATAAAGTTGTTGTATTTTAGTTTTCTTCGGGTTACGTTCCGAAGAAAAACATACGTGGACGTCATCGCAACGGTAAAGGGTTAATGCCGCCGCAGAAGACTTACGGATTTCTCGGACAGTAGCAGCAGCAGCAGCAGCAGCAGCTGTCCCGAAACGGACGACGACCGTCCTACGAATATCCCGCCGGACGGGGCGGCCTGCCCTACAAACGCACGGCAACGCGGAGTAACGCCGCCGCGGTGTGCTCCCGTGCCGCTGTGCCGTCGCTCGCGCGCAGGGTCGGCGCGGCCAAGACGCAGGGCGTGCAGCTCGAGGTGCTGGCGGACGCCGTGCACAAGGAGGCCAAGGCGGCCGGCGACAAGGCCCTGCAGATCTACGCCAACGCCTCCACGTCCGTGCCCAACGTGGACATCGACGCCCTCCAGGTTCCCCCCCCCACCCCCCCCAGCCCCGCACACCAGGCCTCGCCATTCGCGTTGGGCGGCGTACGTACGTACGTGCGTCGGACTTATTTCGTGCCCTACGTTCACCAACCGCGCCAATCGGAGGTGCGGGGGCTAAGCCGCCGCACGTGGCTGCCTGTGGTCCAGCGCCGTGGAAGCAGCGGCGGCGATCAGGGTTGGTGGATCGCCGTACGACTGTTGCGATACTCCCTTGCCGTGACCGTCGAAGAGAAGCCAGCCGTGCTTTGGCCCGCCAGGAGAAGGCGGTGCGGCAAAGTACAAACTAATCTCCATCTTTCCCTTCTGTATGGGGTAGAGCGTTGCTCCCTCGCACACGTGGGTTTTCTCTGGGTGCCCCGGATTCCTCCCACCACGTATAAACTCTCATCAATTGACCGGTGACATCTTAATATATCGATGATTGCAGAGCTTGGGCCAACCGTTGGCACCGGCTCACCGGCTCTGGCTGCCACCGTCGGTTCTTCGGCGATTGTGAGGTGCAATTTGCGCGAACGAAACATCAAACATCGCATCGGATATTGCTCAGCGCGACTCCCGCAGTGAAAGCATCGCTTTACGTTTCGCAAACTGAAACCTCTCGCTGTCTCTGTCTCTCCCTCCTCGTTCTCTCCGCGTTGCCACCCTCCGCTCGGTTCGCCCCAACCCACACCCCCTCCCCTCCCCCCCCTTCTCGTATATTTATCCGCCGTGTTCTCTTTGCGGCCCGCCGCACCGTAGGCCGGCGCCGACCAGGTTAAGGGTCGTGCCGCGGAGCTCGACGGCAAAGTGTCCGAGCAGCAGGGCCTGTTCCGCGAGCTGCAGGACGACCTGCGTCCCCGCGTCGACGAGGCCAAGCGGCTGCTGCAGCGCGGCAACACGGAGCAGCAGGTGCCTGGCACTCACGTGGCTCGGCCCCACTAACCCGCGCGTGTGCGTGCGTGTCTGTCTGTGTGTGTGCGTGCGTGTCTGTGTGCGTGCGTGTGCGTGCGTGCGTGTCTGTGTGCCCTACCCCTTGTGTCTCATATTCTCACGGGAACCCGCCCCAAACCCCACCTCCCCCAAATCTTTTTTACGAAAAAATAATGATTAAAAAAACCCACCCCAATTCAAATATCTCAGCGGGACAGGAATAGGCTGCAGAGGAGAATCGAGGATTATCTGACACGGCTAGATTCCTCGACGAGAAAGTTTGAGTCGGCCTCCGCGGCTTCGCAGCCGACACAGGCGGAGGCTCAGAGGCTCTTGCGGCAGGGGAACGCTACCAAGGAGGTATTGTTGTTGTGCGAGCGACCCGCTCGTGGGCCTCTACTCTTGCCCGGCCTTGCTCAAGCGCTCTCCCGGACGCTTCGGGACAGAACCCCCTGTGCCGTTTGCTTGTGGTGGTGGTGGTGGTGGGAAACTTTTGGCTTCGGTGAGACGGCGGGGGAGGTGTTTCCTGTCAACCTCCGCACCTCTCAACTTCGACGTTTGCCCTCCTGACGCTGGGGCTTCTGGGTTTTTTGGTGGTTTTTAGTTTCGGCGGGCAGTTGCATGAAACCACGCTGGTGACAGTCTCGCCCGGTTGACGCCGATTCCGGTGAAATAGTTGCCCGGAGAAGTCCGCGCTCAAGATGTCTCGCGGGACTTCTCCCCAAGCGGCCGATGGCGTCAAGCAACTTTTAAGAGACAATGTCGCTCAGTTTCCATTCTACGTCGATGTAAACGACGCGAGAGATTTTCGCTGAAGATGATTCATGCAACTGACCGCCCAGGCCTTTATTCATCGTGCTATAAGCAGCATTGCCAGTTTCAGAAAGCTGTTGCCCGGGCTTCAATCGTTGGTGAAATGTCGAAAAGTAATTTTGAGAAAAATCGATAAATCGTCTCTGTCCACCCCCCTCCCCTAACCCCCACCCAGGTTCTGGATCAGCTGTTGGCGCGCGCAAACGCCGCGTTCAACTCGGCCAAGGAGGCCGAAGGGAAAGGGAAAGCCACTCTCAAGGAGGCCACCGACACCCTGAACATCCTGAGAGGCAAGTCTCAATGCACAGTGGCAGGGTGGGTGGCAGGGTGATGGCAGGGTGACGGCATCGGTGAAGGCAGGGTGTTGGCATGGTGATAGCAGGGTAGGTGGCGGGGTGGCGAAAAGAGTTATTGCAGGGTGGATGGCTGGGTGGGTGGCATGGTGGATGGCAGGATGGGTGGCATGGTGGCGGAAAGTTGGGTGGCGGGGTGGGTGGCGGGGTGGGCGGCAGGGTGATGACAAGGTGGGTGGCAGTTTGACGGCAGGGTGGCGCTTCTTGCCTCACAGCAAGAAGCGCGAGGGTTTGATGCCCGACTTGGGCACCTTTCTGCGTGGAGTCTGTGTGGCATCACCCTGAGCAGCAGAGTGGGAGTGAGTGTGTGAGTCTAGTCGATATGTTCTGCCCCTGTTCTTCACCGGTCCCTAACAGGTTCTGCCGTTTGCTCCCATAACTTAAAAAAAACACACACACACAATGTAACTGATATTGGCCACAACATCACGATGCTGAAAAGTTACCTAAAAATTACTGACGTGGGATCCCACACAGCAGAGCAGCTTCGCCTCCGTACTGCTGAAATTTGGCACGATTCCTCCTGTAGAACAGACTCGGCGAGCCTTTCCTGGATAAACAATTGCAGTAACAAATACTCACTCTTATATACAAAACCTCCACCCCCCCCCCCCCCCCAACGTATTACTGCACCACCTTCCGCTGGCGAGCCAAAACACGCAGCCTCGGACGATAACGGAGTTACTGCAGCTACTACTGCTGCTGCTGTTACTGCTGCTGCTGCTACTGCTGCAGCTGCTGCTGTTACTGCTGCTACTGCTGCTGCTGCAGCTGCTGCTGTTACTGCTGCTGCTGCTGCTGCGACCACCACCGTTGCTGTGACTTGACCCTGCCACCCACCCTTCCCAACGCACGCACGCACGGCACCCCCCCGCCCCCGCTCACCGCAGACTTCGACAAGCGCGTGAGCGACAACAAGACGGCGGCGGAGGAGGCGCTGCGCCGCGTGCCGGCCGTGCAGGCGCAGATCGAGAGCGCCAACGCGAAGACGCGGCAGGCCGAGGAAGCGCTGGGCAACGCCGCCAACGACGCCCGCGACGCGCGCGCGATGGCGCAGGACGCCGAGGAGATCGCGCGGCGCGCCCAGGAGGTAGGGGGCGAGGGGCGGGTGCCACGGACGCGGCAGCGAGAAGTCGCTTCGTGCCGTCGCGCCCTGTTCGTGTGTAAATGTAAGATGCACGTGTGCGGAGGCGGTTTTGCAAGGAGGTCCGCAAGCTGCGGCGTGGATACCGTGCGGGGAGAAACTTTGGATGCGCTTGGGGAACGTCGGCGCTCCGTCGCGGCGGCAAAACACGAAACCTTACCACGCGTCACACGCCTTCCCAACGCGAAACACACAGATGCACAACGTGAACCAAACACCTGACTAGCATCGCATTGACTAGAGGCATGGGCACTGTGTACCGGGGCCTTGATTCCACCACTGGCTCGTGGCTGTGGGGGAGCAAGATGAGCACCAGTGACCGCAATCCGGCGCCGGCGTGCAGCAACTCCCGTCGCGTCGGCGGTGCCTGAGATGTTAACCACCTCGCCTGGTATGCGGGAGGTCGTGGGTTCTATCCCGACCCTGACGCCTGCTGCTGTATATTTGGAGTTTGCATGGTCTCCCCGCGGTCGCGTGGATTTTTCTCCGGGTCCTTCGGTTTTTCCACTCCACATTTAGAATCAACGCCACGCCTTTAGGGTATCAGCCTGCTGGACATTTCCACGTGACGATAAGCCACTTCGTAGAGCTGTCATCCGTGATAGCCAGGTGGTCGCTTCTGTTAAAGAGCTACTACATGTACCTCGGTGGGACCTTCTTACCTGGTCAAAAAAAAAATGTGTTTACCACAGTTTTAACCGCCATGTCTGCTGGTGGCCCTGTCTCACCGCAGCGAGCGGGCGGCCTGAAGACGGAGGTGGAGAATGCATACGGTGACGCGGCGGGCCTGGCCGAGGGAGCCGCGGGCCTCCTCGCCGGCCTGGCTGGCGCCGAGGCTGAGCTGGCGCGCAAGCAGCAGGACGCCGCGCGGGACACGGACCTCGCCAACATGGTGAGGGCCACACGCTCCCCGCTGTTGCCGTCACCGCCGCGACGGCGCTTTGGCGGTCCGGCGGCGCACCGACCGGGCTTGCGATCCCGAGATCGCCCGGTCGATTCGATCTCCCCCGGGCGCGGCGGTGAACTAAATCCCCCCCGCCCCCCAACCCCCCCCCCCGTCCACCCCCACCGCTCGCCCCCCGCCCTACCGGCGCCGCCATCCACATAGCGATTGGCAGGTCGTCAAGCGTGATGGGGTCAAGTGCGGCTGCTCCCACCTCTCCCAAACCCCCGTCTGGACAGCCGTGCGAGAGCCGGCCGAGTCCCCTCTGGAGGGGCCGTCTCCGCAGAGCTCCCCTCTCGTGGAGGCACTTCTGACAGCGGTGGCGTGAGCCAGCCGTTGCAGGACCGCTCCTTTACCTTTTAAATATTTCTTTTTTTATTGAATAAAGCGCGAGGCCCCTTTCAGCGCGCCGCCAGCCTCGTTCGCTCCGACTCCGCCGTTCGAGCGGCGCATTCACGACGCAACTGCTGCACCATTTATTCGGAGGTGGGGGGGGGGGGGGAGACACGAAGGGGGAGTGGGCCCGTGAACTCCCATAAACTGGGCGCGTTATGACAAAGGGGCAAAGTGTGTTGCTTAAATGGAGGGAGGGGGACAGGGTGGGGGGGTGGGGGGGCGGAGGCGTTTACCTTTTAATCAGCCGCGGGACGAGGGCCTCGCTATGCCACTGCAGGTCGTGGAGGTCATGTGACCACACTTCACCGCAACGGTCGCCGCCTGTTTGACAAAAGCAGAGAGCGGTAAACGTGAGGTTCGTAGGAGCGTGGTGCAACGGTGGATGTTGTCGCACTGCCCTCTGATGCCCACCGCCCATCCCGTGCGCTATCCAAGCTCAAATCCCCTTGCTTGGCTTTCGGGATCTGACGAGTTGGCGAACATTCCGAGTGATTTGGTCGTCAGCTGTAGTGCTTTGCCAATGACACTTGATGCTTGAGTTCTTCGCGATTGTCCGGGTGGTATTATTATTATTTAAGTGCTATCACTTTTACTTTCCCCCCTCACGCCTTCAGTTTTATTACAATCTATCTGGCGGTGGAATATTCGTTTGTGACGGCTCTCAGTGAGCAGTGCATCATCCGCCCTGTGTCACAGAGCATGCCCCCAGAAGGTGACGTGACAGAGCTACCTCTGAAGTCGCCTCAGTCACCTTTGAACCCGCATGAAGGACAAACCTTTAATATTCCCTGCAGAGCACTGAAGTCAGCCAAATAAAGTGAAATAGTAATTTGATGAGAAATTGTGTTTTTTTATTGGTGTGCAGTCATTGGTTACTGGGGCAAGAACATCAACTCACGGTAGCGAGATGTTAACTCCCTCGCCTTGTATACAGGAGGTCGTGGGTTCGATCCTGACCCTAACGCCTGATATATTTTTGGAGTTTTCATGTTCTCCTCGTGGTCACGTGAATTTTTTTTCCAGATCGTCCGCTTTTTCCCTCCACGTTTTGAAACATGCGTTTTGAGTATTTGGCTGCTATACATTTCCACGTGATAAGCCACTTCGTTGAGCTATCATGTGTGGCCAGGTCGCTTCTGAAAAACATAGCTCAGTGGGCCTTACCTGGTAAAATAAAAAAACACTTCATTTTAACTCACGAAACTGGATAAGCTGGTTTATTAACAGGTGGCTGAAACTTGGATTCACACCCAGGATTTCAACACTGCCGGCTCAGCGTTCTGACCTCTGTCCTCTGCTGTCACTCGGCCATCTGCGTGTTGCCAGTGTTCAATAGCAACTTCTTGCTGTTTGTTGTTGTCGTTGCTTAGGCAGCTGAGGCGGCACAGGAGGCCGAGGACAAGGCGAGGAGAGCCAAGAGCTCCGTCAGCGGAGCCCTGGAACAGATCGAGCAGCTCCTGCGTGACTTGGGTGAGCAGCAGCAGCATCAGCATCACAGTAGCAGCAGCAGCAGCAACAGCGACAGAGGAAGTTAGACTAACAGTGGCAGCAGCAGTAGCAGCAGCAGCAGTTACAGCAGCAACAGAGGAAATTACAGCAACAGCGGTAACTCCGACCCCTCCGTGTGCCGTACCTACCCCATGCACTTTTAAATCTAGATTGAAAACTCACTTCTTTAGAACTGCTTTTTTGTGTTTAGTTTGCTGCCCTTCCCCCACGCCTCCGATTAGCACGGTCGGCAACGTACGGCGCGAAACAAGTTCAGCATACGCACGTGCAACGTACGTGGCGGCCTTCGTGCGTGCCACTCGCTCGCACCACTTGCCCCCCACAAGCCTGTTAAGCGTATACCTGGGCGGGGTGGGGGGGGGGGTGACGGTCGACCTTTGCGTGTGCCGCCCGGCAGGTTCCCTGGAGGACGTAGACCTGGGGCGGCTGCAGGATCTGGAGCGCAAGTACGCGGAGGCGGAGCGGGCGCTGGCGGGCGGCGGCGAGCTGGAGCCGCGGCTGCAACGCCTGGAGGACGTGGTGGCGTCGCAGTCAGCGGCGCTGCGCGGCTACGATGCGAGCGTGGAGCAGGCGCTCGCCGACATCCGCAACCTGGAGGAGATCCGCGACGCCCTGCCGCAGGGCTGCTTCAACGCGGGCGAGATCGAGAGGCCCTAAGCCTTGCCTCCACCCCCGTCCCTTCCACCCCCACCCCCACCCCCACCCCCACCCCCCCCCGCTTGAAGCGGAGGCGTCGAAGAAAATGTCACGACGAGAGGCGACTAATTTAAATTAATGACGGACAAAATCACGGAGAAGACAGAGAGAGAGAGAGAGAGAAAAAATATATATGTGGGGGCTTCCGGATCGCGTGAACTGTGTCGAGCCCGTGACGAGTGCCGCAGTGCGACCTGGGACATCACGTTGACCGCCACCTTCAATGAAAAATATACAGCGAAATACGGGGAAGGGGGGCGGGGCGGGGGGAGAGGGGAAATTATGGATGAGTGAAAAATATATTGTCGGGGACGAAGCCGATAAATGTAACTATATTTTTTAATTAGCGGGGATCCAATTGTCGTGCGCTTTTTTGACATAGTATTAAAACGCGATTGCATCTGGACGCAGTGTTTGTATATGTTATTGTGCAAGCGATGCGGCCGGGAATTGCCACGGGGGGGGGGGGGGGGGGGGGCGCTCGCGTCTCGGTGGAGGTCGCGCGGGGTCAGGAAGACAGATTTCGCGCTTTCATTTAAAAACGCCGGGGCGGCCCGATGCAGAGGCACACGGTCACGCACGAGCGTTCGCGTCGCCGGCTACGAAGGTTGACGTCGTGATGGAGCGAGGGCGGTCGCTGGTTTTTAAATAAAAGCGCACCGTCGCAAACCCTGCCCCCCCCCCTCCACGGTAATATTGGGGGGGGGGGTGGCTTCGTGCGACAAGAGGAATCGTGGATAAGTGGCGTAGACGTCGCGACGGGGAAGTCTTTCTCTCATCCTCCGTCCACGGATACCGGGGAGAGATCGCGGATGTCGTGGCCTCTGCCTTCACGAGGGTTTTTCAGCTAAAAGGGATTGCAGATAAGACGACTTCTACGTAATTTCAAGGGAGGTTGTTTTGTCACCTCCGTCGGTTATTCGACCGCACGAGTGCTTGAGGTCGCGCCCTCCGACATCTTTTCGGGTCATGCCGCCACGTTTCGTTCGCGCGCGACGTCCGACGTTTCGATCCGCGCGCTGGCAGTGATATACGACGCGGCTGATGCACTCGGAGCGCTGCGCCCGGGCGCCAGGCGTTGCTGCTGTCGCGGCAGTATTACGTGCGGGATTGAGATTGACTAAGCACACTGCACGCCCAAGCGAAATGTATTTACTCCTCACGGCGCTATGCGGCGTGAACCCCTAACCCCCTAGCAAGGCCAACAGATCGCGGATGCCAACTGGAGTCTGCTTATTGGCTATGGCCCAACCGTCTTGCACGGCACGTGGAACAGATCCGGAGGTCGTGGGGGCAGGTAGCCAAGGCCACCCTATGTCGAGTAATCGAGGACTCGTGAAGGTTGTACCGTGAGGGGGGCAACAGAATCTGACTCCGCTTGTTCAAAAGTCAGTGGGGGGGCAGCTACCCTCCCTGCACCCATGTTCCCACATCCCACGTTACTTTGTGGATTTTCAAGGCGGGAGACAGCTTGGCAGCTGCGGTATTTTCGCCCCGGTGATCTTGTGCGCTGATGTTTAGCGTGGGCCAGGATGACATCGCCCGTGGTGTGCCAGTTGCTGGTCACTAGAACGGCGAGTCTGATTCGTTCAGGAGGCACCACAAGATTTAAAGTGCTCCCTGGGCTATTGGGTGTAAATTTTCGCCCTCGAGTTTACTATTAAATGGCACACGTGCTATTTAAATCCACGAAGCGTTTGATAAAAAAAAAACTATATTAAATCCCAATTTGAATATAAACCAATGCAGTGGCTTATTTATAATTAGCGCTAAACACGTATTACCACCTTGTTTCCAAACAATAATAACATTAACTATGAAAATCTATTAAATTATGAATGCAATAATGATACACGACAACGGAAACATTTGAGCATGAATTTCTTATCATTTTAATCAAATGTGCCCCTGGAAATCTGTTAGTGCTTTTCGTCAAGATGCGACACGCAGCCTGTGTCATCACTTGGCCACATGCCGCTCGTCTGCTGGCCAGTTCCCACCGGCATGTCACGGTATTGCAACTGCCCACAACATGGTATCTATTTTATTGACTGCGGGAGGGGGATGATGGGCTGCAGTTCTCGGATCAGATTCGACCTCATGGCTCACATTGAGGTCGGGGCACTGCGCTGCGTTGCCACCGATACTGGATCGCCGTACAGACGCATTCTGCGAAAGGGCGACGGGCTTTATGGGCCTCTGGTTACCCAGCGTCGCGCCAAAAGCCCAACCGCATTTTTCTTGAGGACGACTTCTTCATGGAGTGGGCATTTCACAACAAGCCACTGGTTGGAAAAAAAAATCGCACGTGGCCACAGTAGTTTTGACCCCCGCATGGATCCTGCCCGCTGTAGTGCAAGTGCTACGATTCGTTGCCACATCCACCGTGGTGCACGTTGCCCGGCGAATCTTTTGGCGCGTGCCGTCCTTCCCACGGGACGTCACCTGCTCAGTGAGGCTGTCTGTCGTGGTGCAGAGTCTGCCCGCCGTGCGCCCGGCCAGGTGGCTCAGCGATAGAGCGGGCGGCTCGCAATTGGAAGTTTGCGATTTTTTTTTTAATCCTGGGTGGTGGGCGGGGTGTGACTCGGTCAAACGTCGTGCATCGAGGTCATTTTTGGGATGGAAATATAGCCCACGATGGGTTCACAAAATAGATACGTAAATATCCACGACAGACACTTTGCCATAACAAGAAAATTAATTCTCAATTTTTAACTAAATTTGCTGAATTAAATTCGGTTGTGCATGGGGGGGGGGGGGTCATTGGGTTTTATACAAAATGAGTAGCACGTTGTGGGAGAGCTTACAGTGCTTGTCCTGGAGTCTCACCCACTCGTCTTTATGCCGCCGGCGTGAGGGCTGTGAACGAGAGACGAGAACAACCTCGATGCTAATTTGAGGTGGACACCATTTCTAGACATGCGTTTGTTTCTTTTGTTTGTAGCAGCAGAGACATCTGGTTGAGCAGAGCTCGCCCTTGAAGGCGGCAGTGAAACTGCACTGCGGGGAGCGGCGCGTTGCCCCACAGAGCAAACCGGTGGCCAGGTGGCAGGTGGGGAATAGCTGCAAGGAAGTTAAATTGATTGCAAACTAATCAAAGTCATCGTTCTGTAACGTTAAGTGTATCTCAAATGAGATGTACATCGGGTATTGATGAACTTGTTTACGTTTGAACATTTATATAGGAAACCTCATGAATGGTCTATGACATGCAACGACCATTTAAAGGCTTTTTTTTAAAGGAGGGCGCCTGGCTGTAACCCCCCCTGCCTCCACCTGGGTGTGCTGTAACAGGATAAAATGAATGCGGGACAGAGTGAATGATAAATTATGTTAATGTGAATGGAAGACAATCAGCATCAAGGGGCGCCCTAATATGGGCATTTTCAATCCAAAATATCACAGCTTGATCCATGCTTGATCCATGCTCGAACACATAGGCACATGTATTAAAAATATCATAGCCATGCTTGATCGATGCTCGAACACATGGAACAAGCTTCGTATCGTTAAAAATCGGTCGATTACCGTTTCATTGAGCATTGGATCGTTAAAAACACATCAATTCCAGTTCCAGTATTACTTATATGGGCAAAGTCACGCCAAATTACTCCAAATATGGGCCTACCGTATAAACATAATTCATCATTCATTCTGTCGCGGATTCATTTCATCCTGTTGCAACGTCTCCTCTGTCGAGTATATTTGGCGAGTTGTTGAGAGTTAAGAATGCAAAATCAGTCCGGTTTTGTTTTTGCAAAAAGAAAGTGTGATAGTCGCAAAATAGTTTGGCGACTCTTTCTCTCTACCAAGTTGCAATTTATGTTGTGCCCAATTTAATTTTCTGCTAAAAACAACAATTCGTGTTATTGTTTTTTTATTATAAATATGCGTACACTATACACTACGGTAAAAAAATGAGCTTTGACGACGGGATGTATGCAGAGAGCCCGATTTGCCCCGCAAGCTCGTGCAACTTTCACTTTGCGTTTCTGTGTCGCCGTCCACAGCAGTTGGCAGAGCCGTGGTGCTTCTGTTGCTTCAGTTGCTGCTGTTGCTTCAGTTGCTTCTGTTGCTTCAGTTGCTTCTGTTACTTCAGTTGCTTCTGTTGCTTCAGTTGCTGCTGTTGCTTCAGTTGCTTCTGTTGCTTCAGTTTCTGCTGTTGCTTCAGTTGCTTCTGTTGCTTCAGTTGCTGCTGTTGCTTCAGTTGCTGCTGTTACTTCAGTTGCTGCTGTTGCTTCAGTTTCTTCAGTTGCTTCAGTTGCTGCTGTTGCTTCTGTTGCTTCAATTAATGCTGTTGCTTCAGTTGTTGCTGTTGCTTCAGTTGTTGCTGTTGCTGCTGTTGCTTTTATTGCTTCAATTAATGATGTTGCTTCAGTTGTTGCGGTTGCTTCAGTTGCTTCTGTTGCTTCAGTTGCTGCTGTTGCTTCAGTTGCTGCTGTTGCTTCAGTTGCTGCTGTTGCTTCAGTTGCTTCTGTTGCTTCAGTTGCTTCTGTTGCTTCAGTTGCCTCATTCAACTTAAGCACTAAATTTAGGTCAACGGTTTGTTGCAGTGCGCCCGAATTTAATAAAGGCCAAGTTTTGTTTAGTATCCGTAATAGAGGGTTTTTTGGGGGGGGTTAGATCACGTAAATATAAATGTGTCGTTAAACCCGCCACCACCCGACACCGCCAATTAGTAAGAGGATTTGTCACGTAAACAAAACGTGTGCCAATTCGTTACTAGTTCAGCACACCGCTTGTGTGTTGGAGAGTAAACCCACGACATTTACATCGCGAAGGCCTACGTGTTCAGCTTGTTTCGTTTCGTTCCCTCATAGACTGTGTAAAAATACAACACACGAAAACGATGCTTTCTTTACGATGTAAAACACTCTCATTGGTGACTACAGTAGATTGCCATATTCTATATCACCCTCTGATCGATTCATCCAGTCGTGGATCTCTTTATTCTTCCTCTTAGCTAATCGTCCCTGAGGATTCTAATTCGATTCATACGTATGTTGCCATTTGAAATAGGTCTCTGTGGCGGCAACGTTGTTGTCATGGTGAAGGGCTGTTCGTGCTACTTATCTTTTGTATTTTTCCCGTCAAGATTTCCGTAGCATATGCCTCTAACATAATGCAAGGGAAGATGTCCCTGCATGCTTATATTTCCAGCGCTTAACCTCGTTATTTATAAGTGAAAGCGGCCTCCATTCAAAATGAACGCGGGTGACGGTGTAAAGATGCGATGCTACAAATACAATTTATACGAGTGTGTGCGAGGGATGTGTTCCCAAATGTTTTTGGATTAATCTGACTTGTCCAAAAATCGAACATAGCTCGGAAATATTGATCCGAACGTGTGACGTCACGTTAAGTGATTTCACTTCCACGCTTTTCCCAACCAAAACTGCCGTATTGTGACATCATTTTGCCGATATCTAAATCCCTCGTATGTACAGGTCACGTTGGGCGATCAGAGTGGACCATCATCATATCACCACATTCTATAATTTAAGACCTAATCACCTATGTCATTGTGGCATGGCTCTTCTGCACCGAGTTATACGTCATTTTTCAGGGGACGTGTTCTCTTTTGCACGCCGATTGACTTAAGAGGCAACGGTCTTTAAAATCAACAACCCCTTTCTCCAAAGAAATTGACCACTCGTCCATCTCTATGGCTCTAAAGTGGTACAGTCCCATCTAAAAACCACGGCACATCGCCAGGTCCACCCACAGGTTCCTGGAGGCCTGAGAGGACTCCAGGCCCCGGGGCTTAATGTGCCACGCGGGGACACCTTAAATCAGTGGTTCTCAACCGGGGAAACACGTGGCAATGTTCCAGGGGGTACGTGGGGTGATTTATAAATCTGTGAAATTATATCACACGTGAGAGTCATTGGCGAATAATTATCGTGTCGTACGAATCTTGCCAACGTAAAATAACTACGATTCAATTTAAATCCATATGGTAACCTACAACGGTGTAAAAGACCTTTCTCAACGCATTGATCGCAAACAAAAGTGGTTTGCAAGAGTAAGCAGCGAGCGCGAACAAAGTATGTCACACATGCAGAGCGTCCGGTGACTTTGTTGTTATTCGCTTGCGGTCACTTAGCTCGTTGGGATAACCTTTACGCAATGGACAATTGGTTAAAATACTGACGTGTCATTGTTCGTGCAACACGTCTTTTGCTGTGATGTTTATAATCGCAAACTGCAGCCATTCCATCTGTTTGCAAAGCTGTGACCATATTGTTGCTTTGTTCTTCGACAAGTGTTTGCTCGTCTCTGCACTCTCAGGACAACGAGAAACGAGCAGAGCTCACTGCCCTTCTAATGTGCATGTGAGCAAGGGAAGCGCCATCTTTGATCACGTGATACGTTCGCCCTCGAGTCGGAAATGACGAGGTGTCATGCCCCATTCAGCCCACAATCTTCACCAAAAAGCACGGACGTGAGGTTAAAATGTCCCCTTACCTTTTGGGACATTCGCCCGTCAGCGTCGTGCAGGTCATATGTTGTTCGAGGAATCTATCGTTGTTGTGTAAGCTATGCGTTTCTAAAGGATGTGTCATTGTTAAGGATGCTATCAGTTGGCCCAAAGATCTATCGACATTGAGGATGCTGAGTCGCCCACCTTTTGCGACCGCCAGTGAATTGATCAATCATCGCCGTTTTCCAACTCACATTTTTGGTGGTCCGATCGTGGCGCTGATTTTATATTGGTCGACGGAGAGTGCTCTGCACTCCGATTGACCCTTTCTAAGATACAAATTGCGTTTTAAAGCTGGTCTTTTCATGAAATGTGTTTTGTTGAGGTATCACGTGTATAGTTTTTAGTCCACGCTTGCGATGCGGCTCACAGCAATCTAGGTTCGCATTCACCTTCACGTGCATGGAATCAGCTTTCATTATACCTGAAACGATCTTCTTTTGGCAACTCGCACACCACTCGCTGTTTCTTTCACGCATCGGCCGGAGTGCTGTCCAGCAAACCGAGTGGCGTCTCACAGATGTGGGGTGGCCAAACCGTGGGTTCCCGAGTCGCGTACGGCTCTCTCCAGGTCCGTTTGTGGCTCGGTAGAGACGCGGCTTACCATGTCTGACTCTTGAACGTAACGTTACTTTAAGCAGTAAAACGAAACATCTGCAGAAGCAGGGCTGACATGGGGCACTTGCCCCTGCACGCGGCAGAGCCCGACGTGAGTACTCCCCGGGGGGCGCTCCTTCTGACTTCGAAATTCGAGACCCCACGGCCAGTTGGCACAAATGAACCGGCCGCGGTGGCGAGATGTTAATTCTCTCGCCTGGTATGCAGGGGGTCGTGGGTTCGATTCCGACCCTGGCGCCTGCTGTGTATTTGGAGTTTGCGGTGTTCTCCCCGTGGTCGTGTGGATTTTTCTCCGGGTACTCCGGGTTTTTTCATTTAGAATCGTTTGGAGTATTTGGCTGATATAAATTTCCACGTGATGAGCCACTTCGTTGAGCTATCATTTGTGGCCAGGTCGCTTCTGAAATATGTATATCGCTCAGTGGGCCTTACCTGGTAAAAAACATTTTTTAGTTTCATGCCATCTGCTCCTGTGGCTCACGGCTATGTGAAGGTATTGATCGTAGGGTCAGGAGGTTTGGCCACCCCCGTTATAGATGATGCCTTTTAATAACAATATCAAGCTGACAGGTTGCGTTCATTTCCACCAAACTTACTGCCTCATGCGCATTGTCCAGTTGAAGAGCAAATGTTGAAGTTAAACGCTGTTCAGTTGACACTACTATTGCTCACAACAATTCCGACATTCAGATTCATGCTCGCAAAGATACCCAAAAGTAACCTGGTGTTTGGCCGAGGAAGCTCTAGTTTCAGAAGAGCTCTCCCGGTGTTCCGCAGCGTTTTCGAAAATAAGTACTTCGTCTCGGTATGAAACGTTCTGGCTTCCCGCTTGACTCATCATACAAGGAAAGGGATGGGGCTCCACCCAAGTAGTGGACAAGGATGGCAAGAGTTAGATCAGGGCCTATGGGCAGTAGTGTCAGAGCGAGCCACTCGCGGTGGGTTGATGATAGTTGTTGAGTAACCCTGGCTCACTGAAAAAAGTGGGCAGGCCTGATGGAGGGACGGGGGCGTGGGGGTGGC